TATTTGCTGAGTGAATCAGCGAGTCCACACCAGTACAGTTCCTGGAGTATTGTGGCAGCTTCCTACCTAGACTCCCTGCCCCTGACAGCCTGGGTGTTCTTTCTAAACTTGATTCCAGTGGTTCTCAAATTTTAAGATCTATCAGAATCTCCTGGAGGGCGTATTAAGACAGGTTGCTGGGCCCCACACCCAGACTTTCTGGTTTAGTAGGTCTGGGCTGTGGTAGAGAATTTTAATTTCTAATCATTTCTCCTATACTGTCGACGATGCTCTTCCAGGGTCCACACTTTGAGAAATGCTGTTCTAATCTAACGTCACTCCCTTGTTTCAAACTACGCAGGCTGCCCACCGCCACTCAAGTTAAAGTTTAAACTTTTTGGCTTGGTATACAGGCCTTCATGGTCTGGTCCCTTCTTATCTGATTTAGCCTTGACTACCATTTTTAACTCCCTAGTATTTCAACTCTTTTGAGCCTAACACTTTAGTTAAAAAGAACGTTTTTCAGTGCCCAGAGTGAATGAAACTCATTCCAGGGACTTCCACTGTCTAGGGCCTGGATGCTGAACTCATATGTACCTCCTCCGTTCAGTTTTTCTGATGGCCCCTTTCTTCTTGCAGAATTCAGTTCTCTCCTTGGTCTCTACACTACATGTTGAGCACACTTCCGTTAGAGTACTGTAAAACCTTTTTTCTATGGGCTTCTCCTGCCAGACTATGAGCTCTTAGTATGCCATAACTGATTGCTGTGTGTACTTCCAGGTTCAAGCACAGTGCCTGACACTTAGTAGATGACCAGTAAATAATAATAGCTAATATTTATTGAACACATCATTTTCTAGGGCTTTGGGTGGTTCACCTTCCTTCCTTTCTTCTTTCCTTCCTTTTTTTCCAGTTGAATAATAATGTTTTTTAATTATTCAGAGGATTGAGGGTAGGAGGTGAGAAGAGGTAAATGTGATAGAGAGATATATGTAACTAATGTAAAATAAGCATGCAATACAATTTTAAGAAACCAGCTTCTATTATGTGAGTTAGCCTTATATGTCTTCTTAATCCATCAGCTCCTATGGAAAATGAGTATCCTTGCCAATCTTATTTACTTTGTTGCCATTCTCCCATACACTACTGTGAACATTTTTTATAAACCTATTGATCTATAATTGAAATGGAAAACACAGCACATGTTTAACAGCATATAATTTGGCTGTATGATCTGACATGTATGCACCTCTGAAACCATCGCCATAATCAAGCTAATGAACTTGTTTCCATGTGCCTTCAGACAACTGCTGATTCGCTTTCTGTCACTTTTCATCATCTCACATTTTCTATAATGTTATATGAGTGGAATAATACCATATGTACTCTTATTTTATCTGACTCCTTTCACTCAGCATAGTTATTTTGAGATTCATTCATATCTTTTTGGTTGTATCAGTAACTCATTCCTTGCCCCCTAGTTTTGAAACATAATTGACACATAATATTATATCAGTTTAAGGTATACAATGCAATGCATTTATAAATGTATCCATAGCCACATGATTACCACAATAAGTTTAGTTAACGTCCATCACCTCATATAGTTACCATTTTGTTTTCTTGTGATGAGCACTTTTAAGATCTACTCTCTGATCAACTCCCAAATGCACATATACAGTTCACTGTTATCAACAATAGCCAGCAGGCTGTGCATTGCATCTCCAAAACTTATTATACGTGAAAAACAGTACCTTTTGACCACCTCCACCCATTTCTCCCACCCTGTTACTGGAGTATGTCTGAGTGTGTCTGCCTCAGCCAGGTTCTTGACTTTGTGCAGCAAGGATTTCACAACACAAATTAAAACTGATTTCCCTTTTCTGCCCTAATGGTTATGGTTTGGACAGCGAGGGCCCAGATATCTAAAAGGAGGGAAATTCTAAAGTATTCCCCTCAGTCCGAGTTAAGTGTAGTGGGAAAAAGGGTTTTGGACAGGTGGAGCGTGCCTTGCACCCTTTCCTCCAGATGAGCTGTTCTTTTCCCTAATGTGGGATGCTGAAGAATTGGTCCCTCCCTTTGTCATTTGGCTGTTATGGTTTAATTGTGCCTTTTAACCATCTTGCCCAATCTGTCACCTCCAGAATACGACAAGGATGCCAACTGTCCAGTAATGCCAGCCTTTGGGCATCCAGCCTGCCACTCTCCGGTTACAGCCAACTGACCTGGACTCTGCAAGGTCCTTCCCCACATGGGAGGCCATGCTCTATGCCACCCCCTACTCTTTCAGAGACCCCCAGACCCAGCAGTAGGTAGGACGGCGGCCATGTCCAGCAGGAAGCAGCTACAAGAAGATAATGAGGACTGGCTTCGCCCATTGTCCTTTATAAGATTATAAAGTGGGGTATCTGAAAGGGGAGATTTGTAACGGGGCACAGCCAGGCCCCCCTCCCCGAAAGGGTATTTGTAACTGGGTCCAGAGATCGGGGTGTCCAAGAAAAATATATTCTCCCCACCCCAGTGTGGGCCACCATGGGGGATGGGAGCCTTGAGCAGGGCCATTGAGAGTCATTTTGCATGTCAATAACAGGATAGCTTCATTCCTTATATGCAAAAAGGGTTATTTTGCATATCACCAAAGTTAATCAGGAAGGTTTAAAAGACTTAAAGCAAAATATAACTAGAGGGGAGGAGAAGAGACAGGGGCCTGCTGGAGAGAACAAGGGACACAGTCTCTGGGAAACAGTGTGAAGACCACGTGGGAAGAAAGAGGGGAGAAAGGACTCTTGCTAGTGGGCCAGGAGAAGGTGCCACATGGTTATGGATTAAGAGCTGGAGATCGCGGCGACGCAGTGGATGGTGCTGAGAACTGTGAGAGCCCTGCCTAGCCAAGGCCCGGACCTTTTCTTCTGAAGGACGGTATCCCTGACAGGCCTGACTGGCCTGACTGGGCTAAAGGGGGGAAGGCAGGACGGTGTGTGTGCTGGTGATTGTTTTAAAGGGATTTGAGGTTTAAGGGTGACATTTAGCCATTAATCAAACCTGTATAACTTTTGAATAAATAGTTCCTTTCCTTTTCACCAAACTCTGCCATTCAGAGCCATAATTCCAAGGGCGGTGGGCAAAGGACCTATAACCGAGGGACCCCAGGGAAGGGGGCGTTGTTGTTTTGGTAATAGCATCTGGATGCACCCCCCTCCCCCAACAGGTCCATTTGTTTGGTAGCAATTGCAGATGTAATTAGTTAAGATGAGCCATATCGGAGTAAGGTAGGCCCCTTATTCTTAGTATAAGGACTAGTGTCCTTATAATAAAGGGAAATTTGGACACAGACACTGTTATGGATTGAATGGTGTTCCCTATTTGGATATAGGTCCTTTAAAGAGATAATTAATGTTAAATAATGTTATAAGGGCAGGGCCCTAATCCAATAGGACTGATGTACTTACCAGAGGGAGAGATGCAGGGGTGTGAGCACCCAGAGAAAGAATATATGAGGACTCAGCAAGGAGCTGGATATCTGAACCTAAGGAGAGAGAAACCAAACTTGCTGACATTTTGATCTCTGACTTCCACCTCCCAGAACGGTGAGAAAATAATTTCTGTTGTTTAAGCCACTATGTCTGTGAGCCCAGCTACCAGGCTCACTGCAGAAGTTGTCTTTAGGTATAAGCAACCTAGCCAATGTGATAGCCTTCCTTTGTTTTAAGACAAACTATCTTATACTGAATCAAAGAAAGGTGTTGGAAATAGTATATTAGCAAAGTGCTTTACTCAAATTAGTGATCATGGTATGTATGCCTCTCCACCACCTCCGCCATTCATTTTCTTTTCCTTTCTGTCCTCTTCCACCACTTCCTCCTTTTTAAAAAAGACATTTCAAAAGAATCTGTATTTGAATAGAACTCTGAGTAGCATGGCTGCAGGAACATGTTGATGTTCTCTGAGGGTGGCATTCTGATTCCTGATTCCCCTGGTTAGAACTCAGTTGTTCCTGGATTTATTTCTGTAATTGTGTCGTGGTGGAAACATTCATTTAGCATGTTCTGCAAATTTGTTGTCTCTGATTGATAACTACTTGAAGGCACATCTTCGTTACCTATGTAATCACTGCAAGGCTTGTCACTGTGCTATGCACGAAGTGTCAAAACTGTTTTGTTTGTGTTTATTAATATTTTGTGTCTGAGAATTACTAAGAAGGGTGCAACAAATGCCATTGTGACTATTTGGTGAATCTTAATACTTTAACAAATCTTTTCATAAAGTTGCAAATTTCCAAGCCATTCGCCTATCCTACCACTTATTTTTTTGTGTTTGTTTTATGCAGCTTGAAAAATATATAACTCAACAGTGTGGTGGAGAGGGGAGGGAGGTTAGCAGCTACTCTATCCTTGGAATCTTTCTATATCTGCCCTAAGAACATGCATTTGAGTTGTGATCATCAGGGATCGTGTATTTACTCAGTTTGCACTTATAAATGGAAACGGGAATAGTTATTGAATCTACCATGAGTCAGATACATTTTCTTTTTCTCATACCATCTTTGTGGTTACCCCATAAGGTAGAAAACGGGGAGAAAAGAAGGGAAACTAATCTCAGCTTTCAGGCTGTTGTTGGACACGCAGGAAAAAGAGCACAGTCTTGATTTCAAGAAATGCTCTGAACCCCCTTTGCATTCTTGGGTGGAGCCGCCTGCTACTACGGTTGTTTCCCTTCGCGCTACTGTTCCTGTATAGGCCTGGACAACTTCACCAAGACGACAATATTCTGTGTCAAGATTTCCGGTAGGAGTCACACTCCCCGTGCTACACCCTGGATATATCGAGGCCGCCCAGCACTAGGTCCAGTGGCGGCCTCACTTAAGCGCAGTCCCGAGCTGACGTTCAAACCCTCGGGTCTCGGGCAGCGAAAACGCTCCCCGGCACCGCCCTCTCGCCGCGGGGCTCTTCTGATTGGACATTGGTGAGCCCAACCGGCCTATAATGAGGCTGCAGCAACTTCCCGGAAGTGTCGGCGCGGTCAGGGCAGTCCTCGGCTTCCGCGGCGGGCTGGGTGGCGAGCTTCATCCTCCGGGATTAGCTGGCACTATGAGTTCCTTCCAGGGACAGATGGCTGAGTATCCAAACATCTCCATAGATCGCTTCGACAGAGAGAATCTGAAGGCCCGCGCCTACTTCCTGTCCCACTGTCACAAGGGTGAGTGAGCGCGGCGTGCTGCTCGCTCCCCGGGCACCCGGGCTGCGTGGTTTCTGGTCCTGAGGGAATGTCGCCCGGGGCCTGTAGAGGGAAAGCAGAGAGCCGGGGTCCCGGAGCGAGGGAATGCGGGCTTTGGGAGGTCAGGAGAGAGACTAGCACCTGCATCTTGTCCCAGTCTGGCTCTTCAGCCTCTCGGGTTTATTTTGTTATCTATACAACTGCCAGTTGCGCACTGAACCCGGACAGTGCGATCAGGGACAACGATTTTAGCTCTCCTAGCGGGCAGTAGTCAGAGACATTTATGAGCAAGCAGGCACACTCACACTCTTAAATCAAACATCCCGTCTGTTAGCGCGGCAAACGGCAAACTCCTTCCTCCCCAACCCTCCGCCCCGCTTTAACTATTTTGTACACATCCAACGGAAAAGGCTCATTTTAGCCTCGAGGCAGGATATGGTTTACCAGATCTACGTAGATGACCAGGTGAGGCAACCAGAAGACTTAAGATTTCACAGCTGGGCGTCGTTAGGGATGAAGCCTGATGCTTCAGCCCTGATGAGATGGCCTCCAGGCTAGATGCTCCCGACAAGGCTGGAGTGTCTCTAAAACATTTCAGCCAATCTCCAGAGATGAAACAACCACTAATTTCACAGCCATTGTCCTTTTAAAGTCCTTATTATGCTGATTAATGTGACACTAACTTCATCAATGAAACAGTTTTTACATCGTTATGCTAATTAGCACAGCTTTTGGCAGTGATGAGAAAGGAAGATTAGCTGAAGTACTCTAGTAGCTGCTGGAAGGATGCTCCCCGCCATTCTTGAAGAGTGGATTAGAGCACTGCAAACACGCACATGTATTTCACACGGGGTAATTTTAAAGTAAATTGCTAATATCAAACCCTGCCCTTCCTCACACGGTTGGTGTGAAGACCAACTGTTGTCTTGTAAGTGTAATCAGTCACTTTAACTTAGTGTAAATTGTTGACGTTAACTGCTTTGGGGAAATACAGGGTCCGGAGGAAGAAACACCTGCTTGAGTGTGATTGGTAGTGTAATAATATGGGCGTAATAATTTATAGTTTTAATTTGAGCATTTCACCTAACATGTCATATGATGTGCTTGAGTGTGATTGTTATGTTACAGAATTACATACTTATGACTTTGTAATAAAAGATTTTGTAATAAAAATGGAGTGTTATTTGTGCCGGATCCTATATGTTTCTTGCTCAAAGCCACCAATTATCCATCTTCAATGGGGACAATTTGAAGCTCCTCTCTCCATTTGCTAAACAGCACTGTGAGCTTCTTTGAGGGTCTTTCTGCTTATTGATGTGAATAACATTTTTTTGGTCTTGCTTTTCATTGAGAATCTGCTGTTGGATGAGGATACCCCTGTTTTTACCTTTTATGTTAAGTCTCACTGGAGCTCCTGAATGTGTTGGTCATGATTAAAGTATGGCAGAGGGGTTTGCCTTCATGTTTAGGAGTAATGAGTTTGGAGAAAGAAGTTGTCTAAAGGAATCTGTGAAATCCAATCATTAGTTTCTACATTAAGCAAGACATTGACTCTAGAGAAATTTATAATGCTTCCTGTTCTAGAATCACATGTGGGTCTGTTTATTCCACCAGGGTGTAAACTTTTCAAGGGCAAGCATTACACTTCTGCTTTTGGTGGTTTCCTGTGTTGCCTGACTCTTCGATGTTCTATGGACTGAATTGTGTCCTCCCCAAATTCATGTGTTAAAGCCCTAACTCCATTGTGACTGTATTTGGGAACAGGACATTTAGGAAGTAATAAGGCGAAACCAGGTCATAAGGGTGGGGCCCTAATTTGATAGGACTTACAAGAAGAGGAAGAGCTCTCTCTGTCTCTTGACACACACTTAGGAGAAGTTGTGTGAGCAGACAGCAGGAAGGTGACTGCCTGCAAGCCAGGAAGAGAGGTCTTACCAGAATTCAACTTTGGCCTTTGGCTTTTAGAACTATAAGAAATAAATTTCTGTTGTTTAAGCCCCCCAATCTGAGGTATTCTGTTATGACAGCCCTAGCAGACTAATACATAATATCTAGTAAAATCCATGGACTCTTTTGCTAGAAAAAGTTCACATAAACATGTTAATATAACATTTTGATACAATTTGGGGTAGGCCATGGGACCACTTGATGCTAGTTTATGGGCCATCTGGAACCCAGTGCTGTGTTTGTGGGGGGTGGATAGGCTTTACTAACGATCAGTGAGGCCTGGAGGATGAGAGGGGACACATGGCCTGAAATAGTCACCCAGTACTGGGGAGGATTTATTCTGGTCAAGAAAGAAGAAAACGGCCCCAGAAAGGAGTCTGGGTGCACTTCTAGCAGCAAAAGCAAACTCACTCAGGCTCTTGACAACCAGTCAAGAAAGGGCCTAGAGTGGTGTTTGTGTGTGGGGGGGTGGGCTCTTGATAAGAGAGCTGTAGGGTGCTGCCTGCTGACTGCGTTTCAGAGTCCTGAGTACAAACTCTGGAAGCCCCAGTTACTGAGCGTCCCACCCTCCGGTATACCCACAGGCTCTAAGCGCCAGGCTGGGAGTGATCTGAGGAGATTCACCCTCTGAGGGGGCAGCTGGACTGTCCTGTGCAGGCACCTGTCCAATGAAGTCCTGCCGCATGCAGTGTGGTGACTGCCTTGTGGTTCAGTGGAGTCAAGGATCACCACATATGAGCTGAGGCATGTGTGCAGGTGGTAATTAGAATAATAAGAATTGGTTTGATTTAATGATACATTTTAGAAGTGTTTGGTCATTGTTATCTAGGCCTTTGTATGCTTAAGATTCAGAATGTACTTAGAATGCACTGTATATTTAATGTGCTGCTTGATTTAAACGTTACCTGTCTTTAAATGTTGTTCTGTGTCTGTTAATTTGGAAGGCTGTGGAGCAAGCCTGTGTGGATAGAAATGCCCTACTTTCAAGCCAGCCATCACAGTAGGCTGTGAAAAAACAAAAACTCTTCTTATTCTGGCTTAGGCCTGAAGGATTTCCTAGAGGATTCCATGGAAGCAAGATTGAATTTCAAAGTGGACTAACTTAAGTGACTGGAATTGAATGGGTCTCAGAGAGCAAGGACTGAAGGGTGGTTGGATTTAAATGAAAGAAGAGGGTAAAGGAAATTGCTGAAGCAGTTCTGAATGATTGAGAACCTGGTCACTCTTCTGTGGCTACCAGAGTGATTTAGACTCTGCCCTGAGATTCTGGGCAGGACCATTCTCCTTTCAATGGCTTCTGATGGCTCAGAGGAAAAAATAGTCAACTTATAGTAGTTTCCGTCCTATTTTCAGATGGATTCTTCACCTGCAGAAGAGAGCCAATAGCCTATATGAATCAGTTCTCTTATAAAAGAGAACTTGTTGTGTATTTTCTCTTAAAAGGAATTTTAAAAAGAGTAGATGACTGATTTTCCTTGGACTAAGTGAGCATCTGAAAAAATAATGTGTTTATGAGTTTTGATTATTTTGTTTTTAGATCACATGAAAGGATTAAGAGCCCCAGCCATGAAAAGAAGGTTAGAGTGCAGGTAATTTATTTTGCTACTTATTTTTGTGTGTGTGTCTTTAAGTCACCATTTTATTTGAGCTGTAACATCTATACAGAAGAGTACATACATCATAATGTTACAATCAGATGAGCTTTTACAAATGAACACATTTCGAAGCTTCTACCTGAATCAAGAAATAGGACAAAGCCAACTCTGTTCTGACTTTTGTCATCATGGTTTATATCTGGCTTTTGACCTTTATGTAAATAGAATCATACCAAATAGACTTATCTCTTTCACTTAACATCTTTGTATCATTCATCCATGCTATTGGGTGCAGCAGTAGCCCGTTTACTTTCATTTCTATAGGAGTATATGTGTGTCTGTGTAAATGGTTGTTCTATTATAAAGAATCATATAATATTGTTGGATATTTTTCTTTTTTAAAAAAATTTATTTATTTATTTTCGAGAGAGGGGAAGGGAGGGAGAGAGACTTTGATGTGCGAAAGCAACATCAATCGCTTGCCTCTCACACAACCCCAACTGGGGATCCGGCCTGCAACCCTGGCATACGCCCTGACTGGGAATTGAATCGGAGACATTTTGGTTTGCAGGACAATGCCCACCCCACTGAGCCACACTGGTCAGGGCAGAGTTTTTCTTAAAGCTAACTATTGTATTCTTTTCCTGCAGTCATTACCTAAATGTAAATTCCAAGTTCCTAAGATATGTCATGGAAAGGGCCCCATTGACTTTTTGACTTTTGAATCACTAGGTGTCAGTCTTAGTGCTATCCACTAAGGGATATCAATGGTCTGTGTTCTTGATAATGATTGTTATATTTTTGAGTACTCATGTATGTTAGACACTACATATTTATTAGTTCAGCAGTGTCTTTGAGTGCCAGTGATGAGTGTTTAGGATACCATAGTGAGCAACCCTGATTAAAATCCCTGTCTTTTGATAACCTTTTGAATAGCTAATATTTAGGTATTATTATTATAGATATTATTTCTGTTTTACAGATGAGGAAACTGAGGAACCAGAGAGGTTAAATTAGTTGCCCAAGGTCACACTGCCAGTAGGTGGCAGGACCAGGATTTCAACCAGGTCTGTCTGATTTTAGAGCCTGTATATTAGTTACATGTTGCTGCATAACAAATTACCGTAAAATGTAGTGACTTAAGCCAACTGATAATGTATTCTTTCTCTCGGTGTCTGTGGGTCAGGAATTCTGATGGGGCGCAGAGGGGATGGCTGGTTTCTGCCTGACTGGGCCATCACGTGGGGGCTGACCTCATCTCAAGGCTCACTCTTGCCATGTCTGACACCTGGGGGAAGGCTCAGCTAGCTGGGGCTCCTTGATCCTGCCTACCTCAAAAAAAAAAATCTCTTCACCATGGTGGTTTCAGAATGGAAACTCAAAAAAAAAAAAAAAAAAAAAATGTGTTTGCCCCAGGAGAGAGCTAGCAGGCAGCCACATGGCCTGGAGATCTAGCCTCAGAAGTTCAGCAGTGTTACTTCCATCGTGCTCTGTTGGTTAACACCATTACAAAGTTCTACTCAGGTTCAGGGGGAGATTATAATATAGACACTTCTTGTTAATGGAGAAATTTCCATATCTGTTTTGTAAGAAGACTGTGTATGGATAAGATAGGTATTAGTGTGACCATTTTTGGAAAATACAGTTTACCACAAACTATATTCCTAACCTTTAAGCTATACTGTTGAATTTTTAGAATTTACCATGAAATTGATCTCTGCTCACTTAAAAAACAACAAAAAGAATAGATTTATGAGGCAAAACACAGAAGTCTTCTGTCCTCCCATACCCCATCCCCTTACTGTGTCTAGAGGTAGCTTAGCATCTGGTGGTATCTTTCCAGACATAACTGATCATGTACAAAAATGCATCTTTAACATAAAATTGGTGAGGGCCAACCTTCTGAGGAGGTCAGAGAACACTTTCTTTCCATCTGCTTCTTCCCTGTTCCTTTATACTCTCGATGGGATGGAGGTAGTCACTGGGGTGTTAGCATGTTGGGAACTATACTAACACTTCTTGTGCCAGCTCAAAATATGAATTATTCAAGATGAACTGATATATGATGAAACATGTTTCCTAGTCACCAAGATGGCTATTTTGGATTATACTGAAATAGGTTTTTTTCCTTTCTTTTTCAGCTTGAAGGTTTACTTATACTGTTCACCTGTTACTAAAGAGTTGTTGTTAACTAGCCCGAAGTACAGATTTTGGGAGAAAAGAATTGTAAGTTTTATTTTTTGAATGATGCTAATTCTTCTTTTTCAACTGGGAAATATTTTTTGAGGTAGATTGAACAAAGCATTGGAATTATTCATACTATGTTTATCTACATTCATTACAATATTGATAGTCTTTGTAATTCAGCAGTTCAGAAGAGGTCAAAGTTTTATTTTTGATTTGCTTTTCTTGTCCCTCCACAGTTTGATCTTGGTTTTTAGTTTTGTTTTATCTCATTGATCCTCTTGTTAAGTTGTATCTTAATACTATAAAGTGTAAAATGGTTATTAACATAATTAATAAATCCTTTATTTAGACCATGGGATAGCTTAGGAAAAATAAAAAAACCCTAGGGGTTATAATAAGAAAGGGCTAACACCAGAATAAAAATAGAATGAGTAATTTTGAATCTGGCAGAATAAAATGGATCTAATTAATGGAAGGAAAATACAGGGGAGAAAAACAGAAGTATTTGAAGATGGTAGGAAAAGTTCCGTTATAACAGTAATTACTATAAATATCAATGGATTTAATTAAATTATTGATCAAAAGACAATTCTCAGTTTAGGTTAAAAAAAATAAAGATCCACTTGTCTTATTCTACAGGAGACATAGTTAAAACAAAAGGATAAATGCAAGTTGCAATGGGAAAAAAAAGGAAAACATATACTAAACAAATAGAAGCTAAAAATGCCAGAGTGGCAATTTTTATGTCCTACAAAGTAGAATTGGAGACCAAAAAAAAAAAAGCTAAGTTTCAAAGAGGATGTTGTTTACTGTTAAAAGGAACAATGGATCAAGAAGATATGAACGAATACAAATTGACAAAGTAACCTCAAACTGGATAAAGTCATAACTGATCATCCATGTTTGATAAGAGAATGAGAACCACAGTAAATGAATAGAATTGGGTTCAATATGTGGGTTAAACCCTAAATAATTGTGGGAGGTGGCAGAGAAGTCTGAACAAGTGTCATAGTCTGTTGTTTGCTGACAGCTTTCAACTTCCACTTCCTCTCTCCCCTCTGCCCACACCTGGGCAAGCTGAGGTGCCCCTCCCCGGGCACCCACTTGAAGTTCAAACCAGACAAGCTCAGCTCCACCCCCAACCACAGTCAGAATCAGGGCCACTCGCTCCTACTCTCTCTCAGGCCACAAGGGGCACTTCCAGCTTGGTGCTGCCCTCCTCTTCCCAGAAAGCCCTGGTGAGTACTGCAGTGTTTTCATGCCCCTTTGGTGCACATGTGGCACCTCCTGTCTCTACCTCCAACCTCAGTTGGGGTGGGGTCCATCCTCCCTCCACAAAGAGACACAACAACAAGGCTAAAGCTGTAGCCTTGTTGTTAGGCCTGAGTTGCTATGGGTCAGCCTGGTCAGCAGTCAGGAGGGAAGGCTGAGAAAGAAGTGGAGAAGAGCAGAGACAGGCTGGAATCCACAAGGACAAACTAGAAGCTGTGTCTCTCCTTCCCTCTTCCCAACCCCAGCCACTCCCTTTGCCACTGAGCTCCTCTCACCAGGCTCAGGGCCCCAAGAGGCTGAAGGAGGAGGGAGATCCCACAGAGGATGGAGCTGCATCCTGTCTCTTGTGTGTGAGCTGAACTAGCAGATCAACAATACACATGAGCTGCTATAATTTATGTTTCCTTCTGAGCATTAAAAAAATGGCTGTTGGTTTACTTCTGTCTTCTAAATCTCAACTCTAAGTTGGGAGTATACATGGCAGGGACTTCTAGGGTAGTTCCAGCTCAGCTAAGTTGATGTAGTACAAGGCCACCTCACAACTGAAGGGAGAAATAGGAACTTAACAATTATTGCTGCATGCTTCCCACCCCACTCTCAGAAACTAAAAGATGAAGAAGGCAGGAAATAAGTGAAAATACAGAAGATTTGAATAACATAATTGATAAAAGTGAGCTAATAGAAATCCAGAGCTTCAAAACCAACTGAGAAAACAAGATCTTTTGCTAAATTTGCTATGTACTGTGTCACAAAAGAAGTTTCAAGAGATCCTAGTCATCTGTTCTCTGACCATAATACAATGATTTTGGAAATCAGAAATAAAAGGGGAGCTACAGTCATCCTATTGTATGCATATGGGAACTAAATGTGTACAATAAACACCTTTTAGGTAAAAGATGAAATTGTAAAGAAAAACATACACTACTTAGAACTGATGGGCAATGAAAGCAAGACATGTCCAAATGTGTGGAAGAGCTAAATTAGTATTTGAAGGGAAATTGGTGGCTTTAACTACATTACTTAGGGAAGAAAGACTAGAATTAAATGGAGTGTCGTCAACTCAGTAAGGAAAAGGAGCAACAAAAACAAATCTAAGGCTATGTGAAAGAAGGACCTTGTCAATGTAAGAAGCATTCAAACCTGTAGAGAATTTTTGTGAGTTTATTTGAGCCAAACTGATGACAGTTGCCGGGAAGCTAAAGCCTCAATGGACTGAAGAAATGCTCCAGAGACTGGCAGCTCTGCATCCTTCTACATTACAATCAGAAGATACAAGTGCGTTACATGAAATCTGTTGGTGATAGATTAGGGAGGTGGAAGAAAGCAAAGCATGGAAAACTTTGGGACTGTATAAAAAGCAAAATGATAGACACATACTTCCTTTATGTAGGTGGGAATAGGATAGTTAACAGTCAACAGTGAACTCAATAATAACGAAAATGAGGAGATTTGTGGTCTTTGCTTTGGTGCTCTGCTGTGGTGCCTGCACTTGAGGGGTCTGGAAAAAGGGAATTACTTTGACATTCCAAATGTATTTTATCATAGCTGCAAAAAGACAATAGACAGGGTTAATTAAGGTAAAGATTGATTTTAGTTGGGAAAGAGCCTGGGACATGACTACCTGCCATAAACTTTTAGTTAATAAGTTTTAATTTCAGCCCACCCTTTGTGGTTTTTAAGGCTGCCACACAGGCCTCCCCTGAGCTTGTCAGATTAGTATGTAGCCCCTTTTTTTGTCCATAAAATTATAAAGATAAAAGGACAAGATAGTGATATAGAGACTAAAAACTACTGCAGAAAATGGAAGATGAACAAAACTAAAAGCTGGTTTTCACAGAACTAGAGATAAATTTCTGCCAATATTGATTTTTTAAAAATTCATGTAAAACTACAGAATGACACGAAATAACTATTAATACTAGCCATGCATTTTTGACAATTACTATGTATTTTATAATCTAGACAAAGTGGATAAATACCTGGAAAAGTAGGAAAATACATACTGGAGCAAGAGAAAGGAACAACTTGAATAAATCAGTAGCCTTCCAAGAAATTATAACAATTTTTAAAGATCTCTTCAATAAAGCCCCAGGTCTAGATGGTTTTATAGGTGCATTTTGCCAAATGTTAGAGAACAAATAATCCCTATACTAGATGAATTGTTGGAGGAGATAATAAAAAGATAAATCCTGCTGGCAAAATAGATAATAAAAGTTCATGGGAGGAAAAGGCCATTTCATGTGCGAACATAAAAGACAAAAAATCACGTTCATTCATTTATTTACCATTTACTCACTGAGTACCTCTCCATGTTAGCTGCTATACTAATAAAATGTACAAGTATATCTTGGGGCACTATGCAGCAGCTCAAGTCTATGAATTAGGCCAACATGTCATGGACGGATCCGGACTGTGTTCTCCAGCACACATAACACGTGACTACTTGTTTTACATAGACTCAAGTTCAAAGGGACGGGGAGGTGAAGGGAGGAAGATTGAATTCATTGAAATAGAATTGCTGTCAGAGGAAATATAAGTTTATAAGGCAGTTAATAGACTTTGCCACAACAACCTAAAGAAAGGTAGTATTTTAGCTTTGTCATGTTTTCAGGCTGTTTAAAATATTTCTTACTGTGAAATTAGAAATTGTTAAACAGGGAGCCTGTAACTTCTCCTAGTCCCCCTTCTGTGTCTGAGATGGCAAAGACATATAAAGCCATGAAAAACTGGAAATGTATAATATGATGTATATATGACCTCTTATTTTATTTTAATAGATATCAATTGAAATTGAAACTCCTACCCAGATATCTTTAGTTGATGAAGCATCAGGCGAGGTAACTAAATATTAAATATCATGTTTTTGAAAATTAATATTTATTGCTGAAATGATGATTTACTTTTCTCCTTGTTTTGAATGCTCCTTTAGCCATAAATAAAAATTATTGGAACTGAGTGAGTTTGTGGGGAAAACACCATGTATAACATTTATTTTCTACTGCCAAAGGAGTGGCTGTGACTTCTGTCAGAATGGCTCCTTTTTTAGTATTACATGCTGATCATGGGAATGCCAGTTGTTGATAATACATTATGTCATCGTCACATTCAATAAGCTTATTATAATGCTCAGATTATAAAATAGCGCTTACTCTTTTTGCAGGAAATTTATGTATATTGTGATTGTTTTCTGAATAATTTTCTTATTCAAGAAAAAGACCCTGTCCAAGTGGATGCAATTTATTTTTTGTCCTTAAATTTAGAAGCAGTTTGCCCCGGCCAGGTAACACATTTGGTTAAGAGCATTGTCCCAATACACCAAGGTTTTGGGTTTGATCTCCAGTTGGGGCACATACAAGAATCAACCAATGAATGTATAACTAAGTGGAACAAGCCAGTGTCTTTCTCTGTCTCTCTCTCTGTTCTCCCTCCCTCCTCTCCCTTTCTCTCTCAAATCAATTAAAAAAATTTAGAAGGAGGTGTTTTTGTGTTGTGAGTGTATTGCTATAATAATAGTAGGACTGTGGACCTACCTTTTATTTACTGCTTTTACCTCAAATTATATCGAGAGCTAGGAGGTATTTTCCACTACATTCTATAAGAAAGAATCTGGTGGATATTTGTCCCACAGTCTGATTATAACTTGCTTTGCTGACATGGTGAACTCTGAAGGGTGTCTGAAGGGTGGGGCTGTGATCAGATGAGGGCTGACTTTTCACATTGCCTCTTGGGAGAGGATAGGCATTTGGGGTGCTCCTCATCAAATTATTGTCTTGAGGGAGAAGTGCCTGGCCAACATACGGTGGGTAAACAACAGTGGCCTGAACCTTTCTCAGTGCCAACCTGAACTTAGTTTGCTAACTTGTTTTGGAGTCTTGCTCTCATTGCCTCTCTGCCTCGTGACGTATATGTTGGTGATAGGCTTTCTCAAAATCGGGTCCCGGACAGAAGGCAGCTCTCATTGAGCAGAGTCTTGCTGTTCTGTTCTAGTTCTTTATGTTTCTACTTGTGCTCTGTGGTTTTTGTATGTTGTGTCTCAAGCTCCAGCCAGTGGGAGGGCCTGTTTTAAAGGGGCCTTTGGAATGAATGTTAGACTTGTGGAAGGAGCAGGTGTGTCTAGAGCTCTGCGCCCCCTGCCCCCACCCCCATCCTGAGGGCTGACAGGCAGGATTGCCCATCAGGCTCAGCCCCAGCTGAGCAGTATGGTGATTTGGGATGAGGCTACACCAAGTTTTGTTTTTTTTTTGTAACAACTTTATTGAGATATAATTAGCATACCATACAATTCACCCCATTAAACTGTACACAATTTAAGGTGTACAGTTTAATGGCTTTTAGTATATTTACAGAGTTGTATATCCATACCCAGAATCAATTTTAGAATATTTTCATCACCCAGAAAGAAACCCTGTACCCATTAGCAATTACCCCCTGTTTCTTCCTCCCCTATGCCCCTGGCAACCACTATTTTACTTGAAGTTTCTATAGATTTGCTTATTCTGGGAATTTCTTATAGAAAGAATCTTACAAATGTGGTCTTCTGTGACTGACTTCTTTCACTTCTCCTAATGTTTTCAAGATTTATCCATGGTGTAGTACATATCAGTATTTTATTTCTTTTTATGGCCAAATAATATTCCATTGTATGGATGGACCACATTTTGTTGATTCATTCATCATTTAAAAGATATTTGGGCTGTTTCTTTTTTTCTTTGGCTAGTATGAATAATGCTGCTGTGAACTTTCCCATGCAGGTTTCTGTGTAGACATAAGTGTTCATTTCTCTTGTGCATATGCATGAGCGTGGAATTGCTGTGTCATGGTGTAACTCAACATTTAACTGCTTGTTTCGTGGGCAACGATTTCGCTTGTTTCCAGTGTTTGGAGAGAGAAATGAGGAGAAAAGGCATGTTCTTGAGAAGCACTTTAATATGTTCTATTAAAGAGGGCTTTATTTAGCTGAGTCCTAATGATAACTTATTGTTTTTTTTTCTTTATTTTCATTTTAGAAGGAAGAGATTGTTGTGACTCTCTTACCAGCTGGTCATTGCCCAGGATCAGTTATGTAAGGGGGCTCATCTATTTTGCTATTTTATTATATCTAGCTATGTATAATATTTGTAGAAATAGTAAATTTTTAGGGTCTAGAAAATAATATGACTACGGAGAATTGATTATTTTTATGGCACTTTCTGTAATCTTTGTTTCCAAATTGGACTGGTGGGGAGCTCTGAGGTGAAGATCAGGTTTGAAATGTGGTTTTCTTATCATGGGAATCTTCAGTGGCTATTTCTCCATTTGCTTTGCATTTTCCTATTGCGTGTTTTTTTTTCTCTGCATGAGCAGGAAGGCTCTCAATATACAGTTGAGAGTGCTAACATATTTCAGGGGGCATCTGTCACAAACTCAGTGGTATCTCCGTTGTGCGCCCCCCCCGCCCCCCCTCGGGGAAGAGGTGAGAGCTGAATGCTTGATGTGACTTAGAGCTATTGAAATTCCATTAACACTGTGTCATAGCAACTGTGTTTGGCAGGAAACATTTGCTATGGAATTAGTATGTATTTGCTTATTGGAGTTTTGTACGAGACAGAGAAGTCACTGATATATGTTTTCTTTATAGGTTTTTATTTCAGGGTGATAATGGAACTGTCTTGTACACAGGAGACTTCAGACTGGCCAAAGGAGAAGCTGCTAGAATGGAGCTTCTGCACTATGGGGGCAGGTGCTGAGCTTTGTGTAACTCTGAATTAAGACCGCATCATTTAAAAAGTTTTGTTGCCCAGTTTTCCCCAAATACAAACCTTTACTTATCTTAGAAATCAAACTTCATTGTAATATTTGTAACAGTAAAGCTAATTTTTCTTGAAACTGGGTGGTGGTAACATTCTGTGTGTTGATTGAGGTAGTGTAGTAGTTACATGAATTTGTCAGAATTCACTGAACCATATACGTGTGTATTTTATTGTATGGAAATCATTTCCCAACAAAGTTGTTTTAACAAAAAAACTCCAAATGGAACATCGTGTAAAATAACTGAGAGTTTAAACTTTCTACATGTTTTATTTCACATTAGATTAACACCAATTGTTTTTTTCCCCCAGAGTGAAAGACATCCAAAGTGTGTACTTAGATACTACCTTCTGCGATCCAAAATTCTATCAAATTCCTAGTCGGGTAAGTCTCTCTGGGGAAATGGGGCAAGAACCTGGGCGTGGCCTTTTTCTAGTAGAAAGTCTGTGGGATAACACATCAGATCATGATTGTTCCCATTGGCATTAATATCCGAATGCTAGGAATGGGAGTGTTAAATGCCTTTTAAAAATCCTGCCAGGGAGAGTGTCTGAGTGGAATAGTGGAGCTGGTTCGGAGCTGGATCACTCGGAGTCCGTACCATGTTGTGTGGCTGAACTGCAAAGCAGCTTACGGGTATGAGTATCTGTTCACCAACCTTAGTGAAGAATTTGGACTCCAGGTACAGTGGTGGCTCACTCTTTTCTGCTGCTCCCTTCCATCCTCCCCACTTCACCTCCCCGACCCCCCTAAAAAAATCTTAAGGCAACAAAGATGCAAACAACCTATCCAAAAGTGTGTGTCTATGTGTGTGTGGGCACAGCTTCGCAGCCCCTCTGAAGTAACATGTCATCTTTGTTTATTCACATCCTCATGGGAGGACTTGACAGCGGCCCTTTGGTGAAATATCCCATAGAGGAGGTATTTTTTCAAAACCCATGGGCCATGAAATAAATTTATGATTGCGACTGGCATTGAAAATAAGTTTGAACTAGAGAGTACTCGAGTGTATTGCTTGCAGTCAGAGTAATTATTGTTTTGTGAAAATTTATGGCAGAATCAGATGTGTTATATGTGTGTGTACTGGGTAGCCATGGAAACATATTTCTTACTGTGGGTCATGGTCAAAAGTGTCTGAAAAACCTTGTCTTAGAGCACTGAGCCTCTGTTGATCTGTGTCTGATCAGGCTGGGATGGAGCTTTTGAGCAGCAGAGCCCAGCGTGTGTGAGCCCATTTGCCAAGCAGGGAGCGCCTTCCTGGGCACCCACATGGAGTCTGGGCTTCTGCTCTTGTCCCCATAAGACAAGGCGGATTTTGGTAACAGTGGGAACAAAACAAAGTGCTGGAACTAGTTGGACATTTGAGTTCTACCTCATTTTGTATCTTTTAATATAGATCCCCTAGCTAACAAGCTTGTGCAGAGAACTTAACGATTATGTATGATGCATTTTAGTACAATAAAATGACCTAGTCAGTTTTGCCTTTGAAATTTACAGATTCTTCCCTCCCTCTCTGCCTTCATAAGTCTTTACTTCCTAGGTCTTTCTTTCCTTAATTCCTTCTGTCCAAATATACTGGTGTAAAGTTGCCAGTTCTCCATTTTGGGAAGGATTTTCTTTCATTTTGATTTTAAATGGCCTTTTAAATTAAAATCTCAATGATAATAGGTTGTTTGCACATACATACACAGTTATCTATGTCCACTATTTTTTTCCCCCCTATGTCCTCTGTTGGCAGAATATAAGGGTAATAACTATGCCCCAGTCCCAAACTTGTTTAGTAAAGTTTAGTGGTGTGTGAAATTGAGCAAATTGGAAGCTCCTGCTCTACAGGGCTTGGCCTGAGAACCCTTGTGCTGAGGAGCGGCTTGGGATGCGGGCGAGCAGGTCCTCAGTGGCCACCCAGTCACCCTGCAGGGAGCCCTCTCTCAGTCCGTTTTAGCAGATAGAAACAATCTCAGATCAGGAATTTAAAAATGAAGGCGGTGAGGTTTTTGATTAAGGGACCTCAGCCATGGTCTATGGCCACTTTTTCAGGCTTCTTTATGTCCATGAGGATGAGAGTTTCTCTATTGCTCTCTATACATCTCAGAACTTACTCCTTTTTAAAATCTCCTTCTTAGAGAGGCAGAAAAGCAAATTGTTACTTCTTAGTCCTTAATAAACAGACAGTGAGTAGAATAGGCCACAGGTTAAGTAAGTGATTATGCTTGGATTCTTTTTATACCTGGTATTAATTGCCACAGCAATTTGACATTCTTCTAATCTGTTTTGTTTGAAGTGAGAATACTTTTTTTAGTGCCATTTTATAATTCTCATATCAACTGAGGTACAGCAGGTCCTTGAATAACATTTCATTCAATGTTGTTTCATTGTAACATTGATGAGATGCTGTAGGAACTTAGCTCTTTTTTATTTTTTTATTCATTGATTTGGGAGAGGGGGTGCAAGAAAGAGAGAGAGAGAGAGAGAGAAGGAAACATCAATCTGTTGTTTCACTTATTTATGCATTCATTGGTTGATTCTTGTATGTGCCCTGACTGGGGATCGAACCTGTAACTTGGAGTATTGGGGTGATGCTCTAACCAAATGAGCTACCTGGCCAGGACTAGGAACTTAACTCTTGCTTATATCAACTAGTGTATGGTAAAATCAGTTTTGTTATATGTCATTCTGAGCATTTCCAAGAACCTGCTGATGACGTTAAGTAAGGACTTACTATATGTACATGTTATTTACTTTGAAGTAGCTAGAAGGGAAGCTTTAGGTAAAACTGACACATTAATTTTATGCTTCAAAATGTATTAGCCTTAAAATTCTAAAGGTGGCCAAGGTTTTTTCCCCCCCTGTATCTGCATTCCCCATTTTCACCCAGTAAAGGGGTGTGTGGTAAGGGAGAATAGACTTCTGCTTCCTAGTCCAGCTCTCTTCCCCTTCCATGGCATGTTGTGTGTGTGTGTGTTCATGAATGACTCTTGATTGCTTTTGTCTGCTGTATTCACTGCTATATACCCAATATTTAGAATAAAACTTGATATATAGTAGCTGTATAGTAGATATTAATTGAATGTCTCTTAATGGACCAAAGGACAGTATTAGCATGATCCAGTGAAATCCACCAGCTGAGTCTCCAGAATCCTCTTACCACCAACTACAGGTGGTAACACTGACCAGTGGGAGTATTATCTTTGCTCTTTGTTGGCATCCTGACAGAATACTAATAGGCACTGAAATGCCAAAAACTATGTTTCAAGAAAGAAGAGTTAGTTCCCTAACGGGATGATTTACCCCTGTATAATTACTCTTGAATAATTTATTTATAGGAAGTCCCATTAAAATAATTTTCTTGTCTGTTATTTTCCTCAGGTTCATGTGGATAAGCTAGACATGTTTCGAAACATGCCCGACATTCTTCACCATCTCACCACAGACCGCAACACTCAGATCCATGCGTGTCGTCATCCAAAGGTACATAGTAAATTGCTTTCTTCATTGTTTGTGGGATCCATGAGAAACAGAATTTTAGGTCCAGAAAGAACTTCAGAAATTCCATTTTCTAGACTCATCAATTTACAATTTTAAAAACTGAGGCTGAGATCCTGTCTTATTAGCCCAAGGTCAAGCAATTGCACATTGTTGGATTCCATTACCATAAACTTCATAATTAGTAAATAGATACAAATGCTTATGATTTTTTAATGACATGTATTCATACCCATTTGATATATGTTTATCTGTAATGAAGTATGTAATGAATAATTTATTTGTAATAAAATTAGTAAAATATTAGAACTCATAATTTAAGAAACATTCACAGTCCATTGCTATTTTTGAGACTCATGATATGTACACATTTATAAACTGCATTTTTCTTCTCATTTGGGATCAATATCTAGATATAACTTTGCTTTGAGTTTTGAAATAGTTACATGTTTTGCAGGCTTGATTTCAAGTGAATGTTTCAAAGTGAGTATCTTTGCAACTCACTTGTAATCATTTTTTACTGCCACCATAGAACATCCTCTTATTAAATGACCTGTTATTAAATGCCAGGCATTAAATTTTGAATTTGCCTTTCACATTTAAAAAAATTTTAATTTATATAATAATTCTACATCACTAATATGAAGTAGTGATCTTCAGATACAGTAGTATGCATGATCATAATTTTCCTCTAGATTTAGAGTTTCTTAGGATTCAAAACTGAGTACTTTTCATTTTATACCTTTATACATTTAGATAATTATCATGGTAGTAATATTGGCTTCATTGGCTAAAAACCTAATGTAAAGTTGCTTAGTCCTAAAAGAAAGCATAATTAAAAAAAAAAAAAAGAATTCTTATCCACAGCATGGAATACCACCTTAGGAGAACTACAAGGCAAGAAATTATTCTGTTATTGGTAGGCTGCTTATTACAATTTGCATTCATGAATTTATTTTATCATTTTGTTTGTGTGTATACACATATGTACGCACAGTCAGTGAATTCATGGATGGATAAAAATAGCATAGATAAAAAATGAAACTGTCCTTTTTCTGTTGGACCTGTAGTCTTCCCCACCACCCCCAGCCCATAAATCTTACAATTGGCCAATTTTTTTTTTGTTCTGATTTTTCTTTCATCGCACAAAGTAGTGTAATCTGTAACTGCTACTCCTGTCATTCCCCTCATGGCTACTTGCCTTGAACCACTACTTCCAGTGGCTTAAGAGATTTCTTTAGTCACACAGCCTTAGAAAAGGTGAGCAGAGGAAACAGCACCAAAGGTACTAGATGACTGTGATCTTGGTGGAGAGCATGTGGTTTTGAAGGATCCTGATCTAAACATGTCTTTTGGAAAATAGTCCCATTGTTTTTCAACCTTTTAAAAACACTTATTTTCTCCAACCTTGTTTGGAAAAATTTAAAAACAGTTAAATTACGAAACTGGATTCCCCAGTTTATTAACACTTAGCCACGTTTCCACTCTTGCACCTCTGTCTGTCTCTTTCTCTGTGTAACCAACACCCCCTAATCCCACCTCCAACCCATTTGAGAGTCAGTTGCAGACTTTGTGACACTTTACCCTAAACCTTCAGTGCGTATCACTGGAGAAGGGGTATTTCTGTATAACGACAATACGATTCCCACACTCAGGAAATTTAACGCAGATATGATACCGTTGGGTATAATATAGTCCACATTCAGTTTTCCTCAGGTGTCCCATTAGTGTCCTTTATTGCTTGTGGAGGGGAAGCAGGGCATCCAGGATTTAATAAAGAACCACGTGTTGCATTCACTCAGGCCTCTTTAGTCCCTTTTTATGTAGATCACATCTCCAGCTTTTTGCTTTTCTTCCGTCATGTTGTATTTTTGGAGAGTCCAGGCCAGTTGTTTTGCAGTTAGTTTCTCACTTTGAAATCACTTGATTGTTTCCTCATGTCTCCCTTTTTTTAATGTCTGAAAACTTACTTTCATATTTATTGAAAATGTTAAACTGCTTTTCTATATGTTTAAATCTTTTTTTCTCTTTTCTTTTTTTTTATTAGGCAGAGGAGTATTTTCAGTGGAATAAGTTACCCTGTGGAATTACTTCCAGAAACAGGATTCCACTCCACACAATCAGCATTAAGCCATCCACAATGTGGTTTGGAGAAAGAACCAGAAAAACAAATGTAATTGTGAGGTAGGAAAGCAATGTCATAGGTTTTCTGAGAGAAACCCTGCTTTGAGGTAGATGATCTGATTTATCTCATTTCATTTCATTGAGATTTTATGTATTTATTTTTAGAGAGAGGGGACTGAAGGGAGAAAGAGGAGAGAAACATCAGTGTATGAGAGATATCGATCAGTTGCCTCTCGCTCTCCCCCAACTGGGAACCTGGCCTGCAACCCAGGCATGTGCCCTGACTCGGAATCAAACTGGCGACCTTTCAGTTAGTTTAAATGCAATCTAGCTGAAACCCAAGAAGAGGGTATATTATAATTGAGAAAAATAACTTCTGACATTTAAACTCTATTTAAAATAAACTAAAGAGATCTCATGGCTAGTACCATCAGCCAGTACTTCCTGAGGCCTATCTAGCTGAGTAGATAAGATGGTTGAAGACTGAATCTTGCTTGGCAAGGAGTTGTGGATTGATGTTGGAGAGAATAGAGCCCTTAGTGAAGTGGAGGCATATCAGAATGATCATCATTTGGGGACAACATTCCTTAATGTTGGCCATTCGGAATGTCCACAAATATTTACATTTATGGAAAGAGTTCCCTCATCTTCCAGGAAGAAATTCTTGACTGTGGGGAATTTTTACTGGAATAGCCTAAATGGAAAGGGCCAAAATTTAGAATGCAGTTTAGTTTTGATAAGTGACCTTTTAATTTTGTGTTTTCATTTCCCTTTAGGACTGGAGAGAGTTCATACAGAGCTTGTTTTTCTTTTCACTCCTCCTACAGTGAGGTAAGACAATCCCATGTACGCATAACCCAATTGCCGTTGACTGCTCAGCAGCCTTCGTGGTTGAGAGCAAGTCTCCTTGACTTCCAGCGGCATCTCTTTGTCTACTGCTGAGGATTTATTGTGGCTTTTCCTAAAGAAATTGCACAGTGGGTGTTTTCCACTGAGCTATGTTACTATGTACAAAGGGAATTGCTATTATTACCTGTTTTCAGCCTATACATTGAAGGATATATTTATGATTAAGGTTTTCCCATTTTGCTTCTTAAATGTAATTTAACTTCCCTACTTTGATTGTATTGTTCACCTCTCATAAAAGAATCATAAATATTATTTGAAGGAGTACTTCAGATAAAACCTCATTATAGGCAGCCTTAATGTCTAGGTTCATGGCCTCCTCCAAAATTTGATTGTATTAAAAATCCACTTAAAAAATAGCCCTGAATATTCAGCAGTGTGGAAGAACAAAAATGATTTCACTATAGACCTTGTCCTTAAGGATGTAGTATACTAGAATTATCCAGTTTTAAGAAGCATTAAAATGATTTGGTACTTTTTATATAGGAAATTGACCTGCCAGAAGGGGAACTTGATATATGTAATTTATTTGCAAAGTCCTCATGCATTTCCACAGTAAATGCTAGCAACTGACAAGTGCAGAGATTCAGTAATTTCACATATTGGAGAAAAAGCAATATAAAATCAGGCATTTTATGATACTTTAAGTCATATATAATTTTAGTTTTGCCATTTCTATGCTTAAAAATCCATTTCTCTGACAACTATTATTTTTGTATTTGGGATACATGGCCACAGCCCTGCAGCAGTGAGCTGTGGATGTGTTAATGATTTGAACAGGTAGATTCTTCCAGAATGCCAAGTAGCAGCACCTTTATCAAGTCAGCCATAATATTGTAAATAATTCATCATATTGTCAAAATATCACTGTGACGTCTCCATTAAACAACTACCCCTCACTTTCATTTACAAACAGGTTATCTGAGAGTAGCTTAGGCATAATTCATTTTGGTGCTATAATTGTTTTCTTCATCAATTTTTCCTGAATCTTAGGTTGTTGTCAAAGCCCTCTCCTGATGATTTGTCACTGGTGTGGCATCTTGCTCAGCCTATCCCTTCCTCTTGTTTGACAAAATACCCTTTCTCTCTCAGCTATAGGGAGGGCATCGAATTGGGAGGAAAGGGTAGGCCTTACTTTTTCAACCAAATATACTCCTATTTCTCTTCTTCAATATAGTTAGTAGCCTAACTAGGAAACATAAGCCTTTGTGGGACTTAATAAAAGGATGTATTTCCCTGTGACCTGAGTAGAGATGAAGCAGCTGACCTACTTTTTTTCCCATCCTCCTTAGATCAGAGTCAGTTAGCACGCACATGGTAGGATCACTCTGAGCCCTGCTTAGTCATCTTCTTAACCAGTATTTGGTGAGAAACAGGCTTTCCTGAAAATTGGCTTAATTTACCTATATCCTCTACATAAAACATGAACTGTATTTAAAACTGTAAATAGTAGATATAAATATCACGCCCTTTCAGTTTTTTTCCTAAATACAGTTGATCTTCTGTATTTATGGATTCCTTATTTACAGATTTGCCTCCTCTGAAAATTCTTTTATAAGTCCCAAATCAATACAAGCAGTGCTTTGTGGTCATTTGCAGATATGCACAGTGGAGTGGTGAAAAACCGGGGTCTCCCCACATGCACATTCCCAACTCAGGTCAAACAAGGTGGCATTCTGCCCTCTCGTTTCACCTCTCAAGAGTGTGAACAACTGTGCTTTTTGCAGTCTATTTAGTGTGCTCTTTTTGTGATTTCACTGTTTAAAGCAGGCCCTGCATGTAGTGCTGAAGTGCTGTCTAGTGTTCCTAAGTGCAGGACTACTGGCATGTGCCTTAGGGAGAAAATATGTTTGATAAACTTCATTCAGGCACGGGTTATAGTGTTGCTGTTGGCCATTAGTTCAATGTTAATCAACCAATAATATATATTAAATAGGTGCTTTTAAGCAAAATCACACATAAAACAAGGTGATGTTATTGACCAGTTACCAAAAACACTGTGAGCAGAGGTTCACAGGAACCTAACCCTGCATTTCCTCTAGAAGTAGTTCAGTGTTTGCTAATAGTGTTCATGTTGACTTTCTAGAACATAACTACTGTGAGTAATGAAAGTTGACTGTGTTAGTGAGTTGTTTTAAGGCAGGCATCTGACGAAAGGGCATCAAGAGGTACAAGTGAGAGAGGGTGCCCTTCTACTGGGTGTCTTTTGTCTCCTGTGGCCACTTCAGCGCTGAGTGGAGTAAGTGAATCAGTGGTGCAGGCTTGGCCTTACTTTCTTTATCTTTATTTCCTTCAAAACGCTTCCAATTTCTGCCGGCCCCAACTTTGGGTTTTTTATGCAAAGTCATCAGGTTGTAGGCAGGTAATGGTTTCTATTTGCATGTCTGCTGTACAAGTATAAAGGAAATTGTTTATGAAAAATATCTGAAGAATGGAACTTCCTGTCTTTTGTCATCTTAAGGTAGCCATTTTATTTTAAAATGAATTTATTGGTAATTCCTGGGTTCTTATCTCCTTTGGTCTGGTTCTTTATTTGAGAAAGTCAGGTACTAATAATTACTTTATGCTTAAATCTCCCCATTTGTAGAAGAGAATAAAAATCTTTGTGTTGTCAGTATCAGCTTTGCAATGGATAATTTTATTAAATATTTTAATATACCTGGTACTGGACTAAGCAATTTACATACATTAGATCATTTATACTTCATATGAAGGATCAAAGACTTAAGAGACTTTAAGTAACTTGACTAGGATCACAAGCTCACCAAGACCTAATAAGTTGAAGCCTGTCTGATTTGTAGGGGTGTTTTGAGGACTAGTGACTGAGTTCCTTTGTTTAGCATTCTGAGCTTTGCAGAAAAATCAAAGTATTCATGAAATTTTGCAGATAACTGTCCTTGATCAGGTTAGAATAAACTATTACAATCAAGCAACCTCAAAGGTGCAATTCCCTTGATATTGCTAACCATCATGTAGGTGGAAAGAAGTGTAATTCTAAGACCTTGCTTTCTTGTGTGTATTAAGTACTCAGCTAAATCTAACATACTTGAAGGGGATGTGTTAAATATGACTGAACTTTTTAGATGAGGACACTAAGGTCATATGAAGAAATACAGAATCTTTAATCAGTGATTCTCAGTCCTTATTGTGGATCAGAACCACCCGAAGAATACAGAGTCCCAGGCCCCACTGGAGCTTAGTATTAAAAGGGTCTTTGGGGTGAGGCTTGAGTGTTGGGTATTTCTTTTTTCTAAGAGGTTCCCAGGTGAACCCCATATGCAGCAAGCATTGAGAACCACAGCCATAGTTTTTCTGTGGCTTTCTCCTGGCCTCCATTACTAGCTTCTCACACTCACATTTTCACTGTTGAGATAATTGATCCCTTTTATTTTCCTTCTTCTAGATTAAAGATTTCTTGAGCTACATCTGTCCTGTGAATGCATATCCAAATGTCATTCCATTGGGCACAACTATGGATAAAGTTTTAGAAATGTAAGTTGTTGCTACTGGAACTTGTATTATTGAATGGGGTGGACCCAGAGAATGGTAGCGGGCCTGAGGACAGGGGCAAGGACTTCAAATGGATGGGCTGTGAATGTGTTTCTGGTTGAGAGCATAATGGCTTTATCTAAGTAGGTATGTTGTATGTAATACTAAAGGCTTTTGGGAATTTGGCATAAGGAAGCAGCTGGCAAAAAAAACCTTCCAAAAAGGTCAGGGCACCCTTAAATCTTATTTCTGTGCCCTTTTATATTTTATTTTTACCAGGTCTTAGTTTTCAGCCTCTAGAATGAGGTGATCAAATTTGTGAGATTCTTGCAAGAGGTAAGTAAACATTAAACTGGGAAGGGAAAACAGCTAGCTATATTGTATTCCCTGTATGCCAGAAGGTGTCACTGTGTTACTTATGTTTTTAAGAATAGGGACCTGCTTTTTTGCAGTGCAAGAGCAGATAGTTTTGCTTTCTCTGGATACTACAACTAGATACCCACCAGATTGTATTAGCATTTTATTATATCGAAGTGATTTTAAATTATTAAACATTGCTTTTCAGCTTTTAAAAGCAGTTATGAGTTCCCTCATGGTCAAGTTTTTATATTCTCTATAAATGATATTTACATTCCAGCAGCTTTCCTAGCAGGAAAAATAAAGTAATTATATTCCTTTCAGCTTAGAGCCTTTATGCCGTTCTTCCCAGAGCAGTGAGCCAAAGTATAAACCGCTTGGAAAACTGAAGAGAGCTAGAACAACTCACCTCGACTCTGGTAAGAACTCCCCTGGGTCAGAAATGTGGGTTTTCCTACAAGACTGCTTTTCAGGATGCTCTGGTTTGGTGAAAGGTGCACTGGGTAGAGGTAGACCTGGGACTCGCTGTCACTCAGACTTGTCATGTGGTCTCAGGAAATGCAGAGCCTTCCTATGAAGATAACTCCCCAGGTTTAGGACAAGTGCCAAAGAGAACTGTACCTGTATTCAATGTTCTCAGCTTTCTGGAAATACACTGCATGGTTTGTATAGGCTATAAGGACATGTTGTGCCGTTATCCGTAAATACTTCTTCAAAATGCTAGAAAACACTGATAATGGGAACTTTTCTTGCCATCATTTCCAATCAGATTGATCAGTAGTGCTTATAGAAATGGATTTTCCCTATACTTTCCTTCTTTCATCGCTACTTTCATTTCCCAGTAAAGATTAGAGATGGAAATTAGAGCTACAAATTCTTAGCAAATCTCTGCTGCTTTACCTGATTCCATGGTTAGGATTCTGAACTTTCATTGCTCTGGTGGAGAGCCAGGCACTGTAATAGTGGCTAATGCACGACAAAAACATGGTAGATAAAAATGGTACTATTTATTGAACACCTACTGTATGGTAGGTATTGTTTTAGGTCCTTTCCCTATATTATAGCTAAACCTCAAAACAAACCTATAAAAGTTCTTATCCCAATTTTACCAATGAGGAAACCGAAGCTGTGGTGTGTTCTGTATATGCCAATTAGGTCAAGTGAGTTGATGATGTTTGTCTATATCCTCACTGCTCTACTCATTTTACTTATTTTATCAGTTATTCAAAGTTGTTGAAATCTCTGTTTATCCTTGTGAATATGTATTTCTCCTTGCCATCTATCACTTTTTGCTTCATCTATTTGAAGCACTGTTATTAGCTATACACATTTTAAGATTGTTATGTCCTCTGGAGGAACTGACTCCTTTAATTTTAGGAAATAGACATATTTCTGGTAATAGTCTTTGCTTTGAAGTCTATTTTATTACATACACAGCCACATCATTCCACTTTCTGATTATTGTTAGCAAAGTATCTTTTTGCATCTCTGTATTTGTAAATGTCTTTAAAGTGAGTTTATTGTTGGCAGCGTATTTTTTGGGTCTTGCTTTTAATAGCCAATCTAATTTCTGCCTTTTAATTGGAGTGCTTAGGCCACTTTAGGTTTAATGTGATTATTGATATGGTTAGGTTTAAATTTACTATCTTGCTATTTGTTACATATGTTATTTCTTTCTCTTTTGCCTTCTTTTGGATTTTTGATAGACTCTTTTTAATCTCTTATTGGCTCATTAGCTGTAAATTTTTTTTTTAATTTTAGTGGTTTTTATTGGGCTGGTCAAAAAGTCCGTTACTTTTTTTCTGTAATATAAAAGACACATTTTTCATTTTCACCGATAACTTTATTGGTTTGGGTATTTTGAGTATGTCAGCTATCTCCCACTATTGGCTTCTAGTGGGTAAAGGCCATGGATGCTGCTAAACATCTTTCAATGCATAAGACAGCCCCACTGCAAAGAATTATTTGGCCAAAATGCCAATAGAACCAAGAAACTTTGCAGACCACTTCTGACATGTTCGATCAGTCCCAGCACCTTCTCCACACACTGCACAAATCTTTGTGTTTCAGTTGCTGTTACCTTTCTTGAAATAATAAAGCATAATACACCAAAAATGTTGCATATCTTCTTCCATCTTCAATATTAAAATAGCTGCTCAGAAATTCATCAATTTTGATTTTAAAAAATGTACACTTGATTCGACAGCTGTCACAATACAATCTAACAAAACTGTTTTGAATGAAGTTAAAGACAACTAAGCACTACTGGAGTCATCTCACTGAAAAAACGTAACAGACTTTTTGGCCAACCCAACAAGAGTATACATCTTTGACCTATCAGAGTGAAGTTAAATATTATTCTACTTCAAGTATGTTAAGCTTACAACAGTCTAGTTCCAATCGCCCCCTCCCCGGTCTGTACTACTACTCTCATACATTTTGTTATAAACTCCACAAATACTTTACTATATTTTTTGCTTTAAACTGTCCATTTTTAAAAGCTTTGTTGAAGTATAATTTATATACCAAAATTACACTTTTTAGGTGAGCAATTCCATTACTGTTAAGAGTTGTGCAACCATCACCAGTATTGACTATATTTTGCTGTGTATAATGCTTGTTTTTGTGTTATATACCGATTTATTATACCCATGGCATATAATCATTATACTCATGTATAATTTGCATCCCTATTTTTCTCTAAAAAATTTGGGTAAAAAAGTGTGCATTATACATGGCAAAATATGTTATTTCAAGTATTTCCATTCCTCTGGAAAGAAACTGCCATTTCAAGTCATTTCCCATTAACCACCTCTAGCCACCACTTAAACATCTGTGATCTGTCTCTATAGATTTACCTCTTCTGGACATTTTATATCAATAGAATCATATATGTGGTGTTCTGTGCCTGGCTTATTTCACTTAGTGTAATGTTTTCAAAGTTCACCCATCTTGTAGTGTGTATCAATCCTCCTTTTTATTGCCAAATAGTATTTTATTGTATGAGTATACCACATTTTATTTAACCATTTGCCAGTTGGTGAACATTTGGGTTTTTTGACTTTTTAGTTACAAGTAATGCTGCTATATTTGCATATAAGTTTTTGGACACATTATTTTAGGAATAACAGAACTTCTGGGTTATATGGTGTTTTTGAGCTGCCATAACAAAATACCACAGACTGGGTGACTTAAACTCTCATCATTATGAAGGCTGGGAATTCTAAGATCAAGGGGCTGGCATTCTGAGGCCCCTTCTCTTGGCTTGTAGATGGCTGCCATGTTGCTGTGTGCTCACATGGTCTTGATTGGGAGTGGGAGGTAGAGGGAGAGTGTTTTGTGATGTCTCCTTATAAAGATACCAGTCCTGTCAGATCAGAGTCCACCCTTAAATTTACTCCCTTAGAGGCCTCATTTCCAAATTTAGAGCTTCAAAATACGGTGTTTTTTTTTTTTGTTTTTTTTTGGTGGGGAGAACAGGATACATTTAGCCCATAACATTCCATAAATCTATGTCAGCATTTTAAGAAAATGACAAACTGTTTTCCAAACTGAACACATCATTTTCATTCTCACAAGCAATACAGGATGAGTTTTTCCACATCACAGCTCAGATGTTAATCTTTTTGATTATCGCCAGTCTAGTGGGTGTGAAGTGGCATCTCATTATAGTTTCAATTTGCATCTCGATTAATGCTGAGCTGTTCTCCTGGGCCTATAAGCCATTTATTGATCTTTGGTGAAATGTCTAATTCTTTTGCCTGTTTCTAAATTGGTTTAACAATCTTACTGAGTTGTAAGTTTGTATCATCTGCATACAGTTCCTTTATCAAATATGGTTTGCAAATATCTTCTCCTAGTCTACAGCTTATCTTTTTATTTGATGTCTTTTTAAGTGCAAAATGTAAATTTGGTTGGTCCAATTTATCTTTTATTGCTTGTGCTTTTGGTGTAATATCTAAGGAACTATTACTTAATCCAAGATCATGAAGCTTTATGCCCATGTTTTATCATTTTCTGGGTCAGTTTTGACTTTCTTCCTTATTTTTGCACCCTTCTGCATGTCTGGTAATTTTTTGTTGGATGCCATACACCCTGACCTTTACCTTAAGTTTATATAATTTTGAATTTCTAAAAATATTCTTCAACTTTGTTCTGGCATGTGGTTAAGTGACTTGGAAAGTTTGATTGTTTTACGTACTGCTTTTTCTCTTTGGAAAGCAGGAACAGAGCACCATTTCGTCTAAAATTAACTTTCCCCACTACTGAGGTGAGGCCCTTAGTATTCCTAGAGTAAAACACCCTGTAAATTAAGTGTTCCACAGTGGCTGTTGGGAGCAGGCACTATTCCCAGCACCGTGTGCATTCTGGGCACTCTTTCCTTTCATTCTTTTGAGTGATCCTTCCTCTGGCTGCAATGGATGCACTGCACCACAAGCATGCACTACTGATCAGTATGCTGAATACTCAGGGGGCCCCTCTGCCGCTCTTGGGAGCAAATCTGACTGATTTCTCCTCTGGGAACTCCAGCCACATTGGCCTCTTCAGATTTCCAGTTGTGTGTTCTCAACTCAGGAGTGACGATGAGCTCTACCTTGCTGTCCTTTTGCCTGGGAACCAGGAAGTTGGGGTGATCTTTGGGCCCACTTCATTTGTTTCACATTATCTCCAGTGTCATTGTCCTTCATTGCCTGATGTCCAATTTCTTTAGAGCCTTTGATTTCTTACATTTTTGTCTTTTAGTTGGTTCAGGTGAGAGATTCAATCTAGTCCCTGCTACTTTCTTGGCTGGAAGTAGAAATTGTTAAAATTTTTAGTGAACTTAACAATTTGTATTTCTTATGTATCTACCAAATGATGCTTTATATATATATATATATATATATATAAAATATATATATATTTTTTTGACTGCTTTTTGGATTGGGCGATTAATGTAAGATTTTTTTTCCACTTCCACTTTGTTCTTGCTTTTTCCTTTTTGTTGGCTTTGATTTTTTCTTCTAGATTCCTTAGCCTCTTATTAAATAGCAATTTTTATAGCTTTTAAATTATTTGTACAGGTCTAGATTATTCCAAGATCCTTTGGTGTCAGTCTCTCTAGAAGATGTTTTTAGACAAATTTTGAAAGTTACAGGTGTCATCATGTTTGTATGTCACTGACTATAATTCTTACTCTGTCCTGTGTGCTTTAAGGTTGATGTGATGCTCTCTACCAGTGGGTTTACCAGTCTTTCAGGTTCTTTAGTTCTTAACGTGTTCTCTTGATGCAAGTCATTGTTAATATACATGTGGCATCATCAATTGCTTTAAGATTTGTTATTCCTGTTTTGGAATCTGAGGGTCAAGTTCAGATATCATTCTTTAAGCCTCTTTAAACAAGCATGTTAGTAGAGCTCTTTGTACTCTGCTTTATCTTTATATAATTTAATAGTTAACCACTATTATAATTATCCCCATAGACCAATTTAAAAAAATTGTTCTTATAAAAGCAGTATATACTGTCATTTAGAAAATAGTTATGTAGAACCATATAACTCTAAATTAGCATTTTGATGTATTTTATTTTTTCCCTATTCATTTATATAAATATCCACCAACCTCAAAGGGGTAGATACTGAAAACATTTAAAAAGCAACATTGGGTAGGTACCAATGAGAACAATATTAATAGTAGTGCAAGAGCATGTCCTCAAGTTCTCCAGTTGTGTAAGACTCTTAGTTGTTGTATTGTGGAGAGGTGGACAGGAAGTAGGTGCCAGGGCAGTTGGGCACACACGAAGGACACGGGGATTTAAGGTAAGGGCTGCTTACTAAACAGTATGAGAGTATTTAAGTAGTCTAACAATGATAAGACTGTAGTTGCATACAAGCTGAAAAGCAACTTGGATCACTGTGTATACATGAATGCATACACACACATACACACACACACACTTTTTATTGAAAAAATCTTGTTATTCAAAAATGCCAAATTTAATGGCTGTATACTTTGAATTAAGACTTGATAATGGTATATTTATATATTTCTTGTCATTTTACATTTAGGTTATTTTGAACTTTTCAATTTTACAAATAAAATTGTGATGAACAATACTGTATATTGTCTATTTGTTTTCTCATTGGGTTAAATTTTAGAAATTTAAGTGCTTGATACATATTGCCAAATTGTCTTCCAGTATGGTTATACCAACTTATATTGAACAGTATCAATGAATTTTTTTTGACATTTGTCCCTTTTTAAATTGGATTTAGGTAGTTTATAAACACTATTAAGAATTTCAACACTTTCATATTTGTAATATTTTATCAATGTCATGTCTGTCCATTTTCATATAGAAATATTTGAAGTTTTTGTATTGTTTTAAGAGAAAAAACACAATGTCAGAATAAACTAATAGTATAAACTACTTGTTATTTGAGATGCATAAAGTGAGTTAATGTGGAAAAACATTTTAAAAGATTTCATTTATTTTTAGAGAGGGGAGGGAGAGAGACATTGATTGGTTGCCTGTCACACCCCCAACAGGGGACCCTTCCCGCAACCCAGGCATGTGGCCTAACTGGAGATCAAACCAGCGACATTTTGGTTCATAGGCTGGCACTCAATTCACTGAGCGATACCAGCCAGGGCTGAAAATGTTTTGACAGATTAAAGTATTAATATTTTACAGTTAAAACATACTGTGATGCTAGTATAGTCACAGATCCAGAAGAATACAAAACTGTCCAACTTAGGATACAAAAACATTTCATAAAAAGATAACTTTGGCACAATAGTGGAAGAGCTAAAACAAATCAATGCCTCAAAATAAAGCCCTATCTTGTAGACTGTGATGATTCCAAATAACGTAGCTAGGCATCTAATTTACCTTAAGTCCTTTAGAAAAGAGGGCTAAGATAAATAGGTGCTTGTTTAAATATTATTAATCATAACAGAACATGAAACTTTAAGAATTGGGTTTGATTCCTGGCTCTGCCTATCTAGTTTTTTGACCTATGCATTATCATAAACCTTCTCTGGGCCTGTCTCACTGATAAAATGGGAGCTGGATGATGGTCTCTATGATCCCATACACTGAAGGGTTGTGGGTTTGATTCCCAGTCAGAGCACATACCCAGGTTGTGGGTTCAATCCCCAACTGGGGAGGGTACAGGAAGGCAACCAATCCATGTTTCTCTTTTCACATCGCTGTTTCTCTCTTTCTCTAGGAAAGCAATGGAAAAAAATGTCTTGGGTGAGGATTAAAAAAATGTAGTATTTACCTATACATGCTTTATCACAGGGAAAATAGTTATCTTTTAAAGAAGTAGGTAATTATAAGTTAATACCAGATTCAGCACTAGAACAAAAAGTAGTCTTGTGAGCATTTAATTTCCTTAGGTACTATTACAGGGCAGTAAAATATGTTTCCCCAAGTCTGCCTTATTATTTTATGTAAATTTCATAAATTATAAGCATTTCATTCTCCAAGTAAGATTTCCTCATTTTAAGAATTTAAGTGGACTGGGTTCACTATATACTAACGCAGCATGCACGAAATCAGTAGAATTTTATTGACTTTTAGTTCTTGACATTAGATGTTTTATTTAGTATTTTTGTTAAAGTTGATCTAATCTGTGTGCTCCCCTGAGTATTCTGTCACAGCCTTGTGCACTAACCAGCTCTGGCTGCTATAACAAATGCCATAGGTCAGGTGACTTAACAATAGACATTTACTGCTCACAGTTGTAGAGGCTGGGATGTCCAGGATCAAGGCACCATTAGATTTGGTTCTTCCCTTTTCTTGTCTTGTAGACAGCTGCCTTCTCTGTGTGCTCACAGGCCTTTCCTTTGTATGTGGGCACTAAGAAATCTGTCCTCCTCTTTTTACAAGGGCACTAATCCTATCACGTGGGCCACACCCTCAGGAGATCATCTAAACCTAAGTATCTCCTGAAAGTCTCACTTCCAAATACCGTCACGCTGGGATTAGAGCTTCAAATTATGAATTTTGGGAGGACACAAACATTCAGTTCATAATGAGCACAAAGTAGGTACCAATAAAATGTTTTTAGAAGGAAAGCTTTTGAAAATGTTATATGGAAGTTAACTGTTGTCATATTCAGTCAGCTAATTTGAGCATCTAGTAATTGCAAACCTCTCTTCTAGTCTAGGTGGTTCACAAACCTGGGTGATGAAGAGAATCAGCTGTAGAGCTTAAAAAAAAAGCAAAAATCAAATTATTGGGTCCTACCTTAAGGAATTCAGTAGGTCTGGAATGAGATACAGAAAGCTGTTTTTTTTTTTAAAAATAGTTCTCCAGATGATAATGATCAATTAGGTTTGAGAACCACTAACATAGGTATTGTGGCCTTAATTTGGGGAACACAGATCTATATTCTCAACTGTCTAAGGGTGTTTGTTAAATTGTTCAGACTATCCCAAGAATAGGGGCCTTTTAATTTCTCTTGTAAGAGTAAACTTCTATTATTTGTAATTCCATGAAGTAAAAATGTAGCTAAATGCTAGAAATTGGATTTTTAATTACAAACACAAACTGGCTTCCTTTGCATTCTGCATTTCTTATGAACCTGGTTTGTCCCCCAGAGGAGGAGAAGGAGGAGGAAGATGACCTCTTTGATGATCCTCTGCCAGTACCTTTAAGGCACAAAGTTCCAAACCAGCGAACTCTTCGCCCTAAGGTATTTCCAATGACTGCAGTATCAGAAAACCAGCCTGAAAAACTAAGACAACGCACAGGATGCATCAAAGCAGAAAGCACGCGAACTTCTCTTTGGACAAACTTTATAGATTGTGAAGAATCCAACAGTGAAAGTGAAGAAGAATCACAAATCCCAGCATCATCTCAAGGAGATCTGTGTCCTGTTACACATCAACAAAAAGTAGATGCGGAAGTTCCACAGTGGGAAGTATTCTTTAAAAGAAATGATGAGATGACAGATGATGGTTCAGAAAACTTCCTTTCCTCCACAGAGGGAGGGGGCTCTCAGTCACCAAAGCTTTTCAGTGACTCTGATGGGGAGTCAACTCACATCTCCTCTCAGAATTCCTCTCAGTCCACACACATCTCAGAACAAGGAAGTCAAGGCTGGGACACCCAATCTGACACTGTCTTGTTATCTTCCCAAGAGAGGAACAGCGGCGATATTACTTCCTTGAACAAAGGTGGCTATAAACCAAGAATCAAAGAGAATCTTCCTGCCTCTCAGGAGGAACAAAATGTACTTTGCCTAAAGGACTCTTACTCTGATGATGTAACTATAGTTCCTAGCGTTGGAGAAACAGCTACTGGGAGCAGTGGGAAACATATGCCTCAGGAAAGGTTGCTAACTCTTAGCACCAATGCAGACTCACAGAGCTCCTCTGATTTTGAAATTCCCTCAACTCCAGAAGCTGAGCTACCTAAACAAGAGCATTTACAGTGTTTGTATCAGAAGCTGGCAACAGGTGAGAGTATAGTACTTGAAAAGAGAAAAACTCACTCTTAGATACTTAAGAATTTATTCTAGATCCGCCACTAGAAAAACCTATACAAAGAGGTAAGTTGGAATTTTTAATAGATAAATTAAAATGCTCATATAACCTAAAAGAAAGAAGGGGAAACAGGAACAAAAAATAAGAGGGGGGAAAAAAAAAGAAAACAAGATATGGTAGGACTAAATCCAAACAGATCAATAATTACATTAAATGAAAATGGTCTAAATACACCAATGAAGGTAGTCTGGAAAAATACAACATAATCCAACTATATGCTGTCTATAAACAACTCACTTTACATGATACAGGTTGGTTAAAAGGATGGAAAATATAACAGTTGGAGTGGCTTTAAAAGGTGTAGTTCACCAAGAAGATATAATTTTAAATGTGTATGTACCTAACAACAGCTTCAAAATATACAGGCACACCTCAGAGATATTGCAGGTTGGGTTCCAGACCACTGCAACAAAGCAAAAACCGCAATAAAGCAGGTCACAGTATACTGGGAAATCAAAAGTTATGTTTACACTATACTGCAGTCTATTAAGTGTGCACAGCAGTATGTCTAAAAAACCCTGCCTGCCTTAATTTAAAAACACTTTGCTAAAAAGTGCTAACCATCATCTCAGCCTTCAGCAAGTTGTAACCCTTTGCCGGTGGAGGGTCTTGCCTTGATGTTGATGACGATGCACTATCTGTGAAGCACAATAAAACAAGGTATGCCTGTGCAAAGGGCAAACAACTAAAAGGAGAAACTAATGCATGATTATAGTTGGTACTTTAACATTCCCCTTACAGTAACAATTATTTGACAGGAAATCAGCAAGGACCCATCTCCCAAATGGATCTAATTAACACTCCATCCAACAAAAACAGCAGCAGTAGAATACCTGCTTTTCAAGAGCACGTGGGACATTCACCAAGATAGATCACATCCTAGGTCATAAAAGTACTTCAGATTGAAAGAATAAAAACTTGGACCTAATACTATAAACAGATGGCTATGGGACAAACCCGTCCCCTACTTACCTCAAGACACCACTTACAAATGTTGGTGTGAATACAGTGCTAAAATTAAAACTAGAAAAATTAGGATCTGAGAGAAAATAATTGTGGCAAAAGTATCTGTGTGTTCTGTGAGTCATTCAACCTTTCTAAAGTCCACCAATACGGCATGCGTTTGCAGAGTATGTATGTGGATTTAATAAAGTTTTATTAGCATATTAATAAGCACTTTGGTATGCTGACATTTTGTAGATTAACATAGCAAAAGCAGAGATTTCTCTTAAAACTAGTTTTAGTCTCTAAAAGCAATGTCCATCAATTACACTATTAATTATGTGTTATCACTGTGCTGCAAGTACCACTTAGACCAATAATAAGTGTTGAGTCCACAAAACTAAATTAGGATTACAAGACTTAGTGGGAGAGGAAAATAAACTGGGTACTCGAAGGAAGAAAAGCCAACAGGACCAGGAAGCCAGCCCTCATTTTCCAGAAGGGAATATTCCATTTCCAAATGTTGGGAGGATAGATTTGCCCCTGTCCATTTACATGTGAGAAAAACTAGCAAGTGACACTTAGACTTCACATTCAGCTAAGAAAGTGACAAAAGAGGAGGGATGAGGGGAAGAAACTGACATGGTTACGTAGGAATAGGGCTGAGACAAGGGTCTGGTCATTTCTGATTGGTCTTTGAGGACATGTTAGGTCACAATTTTAGGGAAGTATCTCTACCCTAAATACACACCTATACCAATGGGAATGGTCTGAGCATAAGGTACCTGGGACAAAGGAATATAAAAGGCAGGACACAAGGAGTTTTATGGGAACCCTTTTTTCCTAGCTTGGCAGCTGCTCTGAGCTATGGATGAAATACACTCTCTAGACTTAGTATAAGGGTCAGGATTAGAGTTGTAATTATTCCATTTTGCCCATCTCCCCTCTGAGTACTATTTCCTAAATTCCAAGTGAATATAAAGACTGGAGAGAACCAATGAGGATTGCAAATCATTGGTTGAACATCTGGTCATAACTACAATAGGCCCATTACTGAAACCCAGGGACTTCATGTTTTATAGCTCTAAAAATTATAGTTCATTATCATAAATCATATAATCAAATATATAACTTACGTATACTGACATTTAAGATTTCATCTTAATTGTATAGCTTATGATCCAAGGGGGTGGTAGTGTTCAAAACATGCCCATAAACATTCTTCTGAATATATTCTTAGCATTTAATCATAATTTAATACTGTATGATGCCACATTTTCATTGTTTTATACATGAATCTAGCATAATAAATGTTGGCTGAATGAATTTAAGGACTAGGAAACTGCACTAGAGCAGACTTTGGTAAAAAAACTTGTAGTGATCACAAAAGATGTTAAAGTATAGGTTTATACAGCTGATTCTTGAACAACATGGGTTTGAATTTGGGGGTTCAAACCCATGTTCAAGGGTCGACTGTATGAAACTACTTTAACATCAGTACAGGTTTATACTCTGTACTTCAAGTACAGAGTAATTATAGCTAATACTTACATTTGGTGCTTACTCTGTGATAATGCTTAATTCTTTTACATACTGTATATTAACTCCTTTAATCCTCACAGCACCCTCTGAGGTAGATATATTTGATATGTCCATGCACAGATAAGGGGGCTATGGCACAGAGAGGTTAGCCCACATAACTAGTAAAGGGTGAAGCCTAGGATCAAAACAGGCACCTCAGGCCCCAAAATCCATGCTTTTAATCACCATGCAACAAGGCCTGTCAAAGACTGTAACAGTGGGCACGATTAATTATAGAGGCTACTTGATTTTTACTTGAAGAACTATAAAGTATAAAAGGAGAGGAAGAAGTTTCAAAATGCCAAGATATATCACAGAAGAAACCCAGTGGCTACCCACATTTGCCTTAGAGAAGAATCCAAGGCTTAGAAGTTTGTTTAAACTAACAGTAGAAATTGATTTTTAAAAAACTCTGCCTGAAGTTGGTTAAATTCTTTAAGAATAGGTATAGTTTACTGCCTCCTCACTGGGTCATCTTGTTACCTAACCAGTTGCAACCTACTTCCTTCAGTTTACTATAGGGATGACAACACCAACCTCATAGATTTATGAGAAGCACATGAATATATATAAAGGCCTAAGACTTGCTCAAGGAATATTAGCTCTAACTCTGAAATTCCTTTGCAGTTCTAGGCAGTGCATAACGAAACTGGTTTAAATATCTGGTGACTAATAATGCTCAAAAATTTTAGAAATATCCATCCACATTATGTTAGGTGTGAAATTATACTTTAATATCCAAATGTATGAACTGTGACAACAATAAACTTTTTAAAAAGAAAAGTAACATTGAAAGGAATGGTATATAAACCTTTGGTCAATCTCTATAGCAGGTAGTCAGGAATACATCAGTATTTTTTTCACCCTTTTTGTAGGCTTCTGGGGAAAGACAGTAAAATAATCAGAAACAAAGCTAACACATGATAAATAGAAAATCAAATGCCAAACTAAATTTATTTGCTAAAGAAAAACTGTTGAACTATAATAAGTGCTGTCTAGATTTTGCATACATGAAACCCCCCCACCCCGCTGAGATTACCAATTGTGTATCACAATCCTCGTATGTAGATACTGAAAACAATGGTATTAATACAACTTATATAGTGGATTGACAGTTTAAACTTGATCTAAATAGTACCCTTGAATACTTGGTTTATACTGAAAGAAAAAATCCTGACAACTTAGGAAACTAATGTAAAGAAGTTAAATGTTGATTTAAAAATGGTTAACGCTCCTAACAGCTTCATTTTTTAAAACAGTTTCTAGTATTTTACTGCCTAAGTTTAGCTTTTTAATAACATAGGGTTAACACAGATAATTAAAGTTTCAAAGGCTCATTAAATTTGTTTTAATAAGGACAAAACAAGTTGACTGAAAATAACCATTTTCCCTTTGCCTTCCAGTTTTATATTTATAGAACAAAAAGACAAGATTAAGTTACTAAACAGTAAAACACTGAATTTTTAAAAAGAATGTGAGAATTACACCTTTAAACTTACCCATTACAATTCAAAATATGCTTGGCCAGTGAGAGCAACCTGTAAAATCAATGATGCTGTCTCACCACTGACACCATGTAACTTTTTTTCATAAAGAAGCATGAAATGCACAAAAAATGTATTTTTTCTTGACACTTTCTGCAAATTTTGGTTAGTAGATATACTCTGAGGCTCTAAACATGTAAACAATTTACCCTATATTATGAAAGAGCAAAGTCAAGTAATACCATCATAATACTGAAGTGTAGCTTCTCCCAGAAAAGAGGTTAAGGGTTAAGAAGATTTTTGAAATGCTGCATTTGTGAAGTCAGTTCAGTTTTACTCAAGCTTATTTTAGGTCATTAAAGCCTAGCGCGATGAGCTTAGGAATACTGAAAGCTGGATTTATTTGCTGCGTTTGCCTTTATGTTGGACACCATGATGAGTAAACCCAGAATCAGAAAGAGATGAAAACAGTTTTTTCTGATTATGGTTTTACTATGCAGGAAAACAAACAAAACCAACAATGAATATATTCCATTTCAGTCTTCATAGTTCAAGTAATAAATGGTCTTATAATTCAGGCACACACTTTGGCCAAGCCAAGTTTAGCTTTATCACATTTAAAAAATTCATATATAAAATAAGTATCAGTTCAAAATATAGATTATTTTAAAGAAGAGCTTGCAGGAAATATAAAAATAGTTAAATTTGGTGTAAGGTAATGTTAAAATAGCCTGAAACTCAGAACCTGTAATGTTGATATGTGGAACACGCGCATCACGTACAGCTGTTCTCAAGGGCATCCTGTTTTACTGTTTAGACCAGAGGTACTAACCATGCATCTCCACATTCAAGTTTTTGAAAGGGGCCTTTAAAGCAGCCTATTTCCCCTGCCTGGTACTCCAAAAAAACCTTTTTTTCCCCACTGCTGTGTCATTTCCAAGAGGCCACTATGCATCTTGGAGAGCTTTTTGAACATTTTTTTTCTGCAGGATTAAAAAACCTTTAAGAATTACTGGTTTGAACATACACCCTTCAGTAGTGGTCTAACTTGCTTCAATATATGAAATCGAGCTGTAATTTTTTCATGTTTAATTTTAGATCTTAATTTCTGTATCAAGCTCTCAATGTTTTAATGAAAGAAGTAGAAAATAGGGTATAATTCAGTATCATCTATATGTCTCCAATACAAGTACAGTATTTACAGTAATAAATAGGTAAACAGGAAATAACAACATAACAAAAATAGAACTTTTTGCCTAAACTGAATTAACTATTTTTCTAAATTCAAGGTGTATGGCAAGTTGAGTGTTTGATCTTATTGACTGTGACATTATCAGTTTAACACTTAAAACACTGAAGGAGGCATTTCTCTATTCACACAAGAATTCTTAAGTATGTATATGCTGGCCTGTACTGGTTTTCCTTGCTTGTTTGATATCTAACCACTAATTAGGTATATTTCGAATTGGTCTATGTGACCCTGTGTTTCTCTCTTCATAAGCATCAGTAAATGCATTTTGGCCAATGGTTTGAAACAGGAATTGTAAATTAACATAGAGTATAATCTTCATAGTGTGAAATGGGTCCCAAATATTTATTTTAAAAATGTTTTTAGAAAAACAAAACTATAATTATCCTCAGCTCTATTTCCTGAAAATTCAGTTGAGGTAACCTCTGCAAGTCACAGCTCCACATTTGCACACAGTTCTGACTCTCTTTTTGGCTGGGCTGTAGTCAATAGAATCTGAAGATATATCTCCAGAACCTGAATATGTAGAAAAAGAAATACAGCAGAAAGAGAGTTAAGACAATTAAGAATGGGTTTCAAATTTTATATCAGATTTAAATACTGTTAAATATGAATGTTCAGAGACAAATCATTATGAACTGCCTTGAAAGAATGGTGTGGGCTAGTAAGAGGTAAGGTATATGCGATTAGCCCATAGTTAAGAGAATGCATTTCTATATTGATGAAAGTTACTGGGAAAATCCAGTACACAATCATTTGTTTCATACATTATTTAAGAGCCATAAAGCAAAATCAAGTAGTTACAACATGTAAAAGGCATCATGCTTAGAAAAACAATAGAAAGAAAATGCTTATAGTATCACAATAAAGCAAATAAAACTAAATGTTCTTTTTAAAAGTCAAAGTCAAGTAGGAATGGAGTAAGATCATGTGTGATTTAAGTCACATTTAAAATATTTTGAATACCCACCTCTTAGTAAAGATTCAGAAATGTAGGCTTACAATTTTTTAAATACAAGCAGTGTTGAGAAAAGATGTTATCAAATAAATAAGCTTCCATAATGGAAGTGCTGAAAAAAAGCAGATGGCAACTGTGACATAAAAGAAATGACATTACTTTAGCTCAACGTCAGGGAGAACTGGATTCCAGTTTTAGCTGTCAGATTAGCTTTGAGACCTTGAGTAAAAAGATACTCTTATAGCCTCATTTTTTTCATCTTTAATACATAGTTTGGTTCAGATGATCTAAGGTCTTTTCTCATTCTTGAATAGATTCTTCATACTAAAACAACTTAACACCAGTGGAACTAAACTTGAAAACCATACCTTTCATTTGATAATCAAAAGTGAGCTCTTCTCCAGCATTTATGGTTCTTGTGGAAAATAATGCTATCCGGGGAAGACGAGTATCGAGGTTATCAATGAAAACATTGAACACCTGAAGATTTGGGTCACACTAAAAAGAAAACGTTAGAACCTAGTTAAGTAAAAATGACGTGACTGAGCTCTTCTACATGCCATATAAAATTTTCAATTGCTCAGAGGATTTGTTTTGAAAATGTAATGGAAATTAAGTTGATTATTTAGCGGTATCTGAGACATGCACATTTAAAAATACTGTTTTCACTTACAGAATACTTCATACATACATAAAACTAGAAAAAATAATGTAAGTCCACATGTATCCACTATACAACTTCAACAGTTGTTAACATTTTTGCCAATGTTGTTTTATCTGTCCCTGACTTATCTGGAGAATGTTACTGCAAATCCCAGGTAACATTATCAGTTTACCTGTTAATATCTCAGGAAGGCATACTTAATTAAACCACCTGCATTTAAAAAATCAAGTTAGCACTGTAGAACTCAAACTTCATATTGCATAGGGTTTCACTGCTTACACTCTTGTTGGAATTGTTTGATATTTTGAGAACTCTACACTAAATTCTGTAAGAAGATCAGTGAATAATACTAAGAGACCAAAGTAAGTGTTTAATTGTCCTTGAATAGAATACATTTTAAGAGTACCTGAAATTTATTATTAAGAACAAAATTAAAGTAAAAGTTTTAAGTAAATGAGAAAACTAACAAGGGAGGCAGACGGTCTCTGGCATTTCACTACTAATCATAAATTAGTTTCTTGGTATAAAATCTACCAAAGTTTAACATAGTCTACCCTCCTTATATAGTCAGCTATATAACTTAATTCCTTGAGATACATTTCATTGTAATCTATAAAATGGAGATAATACCAATCTCACAAGACTAATACTATGTCATCTACCTGGCATGCAACACGTGCCCAATAACTATTAACATCCCTTATTTTTGGATATAGTTTTCGGAGTCTAAGATTCTGGGGTTAAAGTTTCTGCTGTATTCTAAGCTGTTTTCTAACACAAATTAAGAACACTAATTTATAATTTAGCCCTGACTGGTGTGGCTCAGTTGGTGGGGTGTGGCCCTGCAAAGTGAATGGTTGCTGACTTGATTCCCAGTCAGGGCACATGCCTAGGTTGCAGGTTCAGTCCCCAGTTGGGGTGTGTATAAGAGGCAACCGGTCAATGTTTCTCTCCCTTTCTCTCTCCCTTCCCTTTTCTAAAAATAAATAAAATCTTTTAAAAAAAGAATACTGCCCTGACTGGTGTGGCTCAGTGGATTGAGTGCTGGCCTGCAAACCAGTCACTGGTTTGATCCCCAGTCAGGGCACATGCCTGGGTTGCAGACCAGGTCCCCAGCTGGGGTTGTGTGAGAGGCCACTGACCAATGTCTCTTTCAGATATTGACGTTTCTCTTCCTCTCTTTCTCCCTCCTTTCCCCTCTCTCTAAAAATAAATAAAATCTTTAACAAGAAAAAAAAAATACTAGCCTGTAATTCAGAAAAATAGCCCTAAATACTTCAATACTCTACAAATTCTTAAATCTTATGAAAATGTTAACATGTTTACATTTTAAGAGACTACAGCTATCTTAGTTATATATCCTAAAATTTAGCTGTGTTAACTTCCATAAAAAACCTATATAATTGTGTGCTCCTTAAAACTTCCTATTTTCTACTTCTTAACTCCCCTGCTCATTAATTTCCTCCTCTATGAGGCTAATACCTATCTTATGAAGTTGTTGAAAAGTTTAAATGAAGTAACATAAGTAAAGACTTGCAAAATGCATAGTATTTGCCTTTTGAATTTTCCTAACACAGCAGTAGTCATGACTTAACAGCAGATGTCTTTGTACTAAAATACTCTGGAAATATTAAGAGTCTGTGGTTCAAAGATATTATATTCTCAACTATGGAAAAGCATTAAACACAGAACTAAGTTAATCAGTCCTGTCTATACTTCAAGTATTTCTTACACTGTGATTCACAAAATGAGACACATTTCCATATCGAGCTGCATCCACTGTGAATTCATCAGATTCATAGTCCAGATCAAAGAGGTATGTGATTCCTTTGTTGTCATACAACTGCCCCCGTCTCTCAGCTTCTTCACTTGTGATTACCTAAAAAGAAAAAACTATAGTATATTCTATAGCTATTGCTGAACTGAAGAAACTCTCATCCATAAGGAAATTAATTAACATTCATACCTACAGATGTGTAAAAAGAAGCACATATTCATACAAATAACTCTAGAAAAGCTAGGAGAACAAAGGGAGAAATGATGGTGCAAAGCAATTCTGACTGTTTAAATGGGAATTAGGAAAACTCAACAAGTAACAAGTTGAAACCATGTACTACTTTCATTCTAATTTATTGAGATGTTCAAAAAGCTACAAAACTATAGTTATTTGTAGTATATAACAGAATATAGAGGACTAAGTTTACAAGTATATATGCTCTAAAGGGATATTTTTTCCCTATAACTAATCCGTTACAAATGAAAATTTATTACAAATATAGGAGAGAAGGTATGTTAAATTTGTGGTCAAATATATAGAAAGTTTTGTTTTATAGAATAGGTTGTTTCCATGAAATTTGGCAGCTAAAAACTATCACCTACAGTTATGCACTAAACAACAAAGCTTTACCACATGATCATCTTAAGAAATCAAAATGTCTAAAGTCATTTACGGTGTCAATCAAATTTAGCTGCTGCATTCATTAAGCCAAAAGAGAGAATAATTGTACTAAGATCTAGTATCCTAAATAGTGATTTATAATAATCTGCCATTGTCTAAAAATATGAGGCTCAATATAGGGATCCAGTTTAGTCTCTAAATTAGGTGGTCCAATTCAAACAACATTTAAAATGTCAGATATGACAGCCCCAGATTCACAGTCACACTCATGTTTTTCTAGTCACAGTTTAACCCACCCTTCAATTTGAGGAAGTGTGGTGCGTGGTGAAGTGCACTGATTTTGGAACCTTGGTTTTGAATCCTGGCACTTCTTTACTACTGTGTGACCTTGGGTAAGGTGCTTAGTTTCTGTGCCTCGGTTCCCATGCCTATAACAATGGAGATAATACCACTACCTCAGAACTGAGAACATTAATGTGTTAATACATAAGGTGCTTAGAATAGTATGTGGCACATGGTAAATACTACTTTTATATACATACATATATATTTAAAATTTTTGTTTGGCAATGTAGGAAGGTCTTTGTAGCTGAGTTACAAAGAGTTTGGATTTTCTTATAGATATAATAAGTGCTTCTATGTTTATCCTGTAACACTTCTTGCTCATAAAACACTGGCCTACTATACAGTAGTTTTCAAGTTGAGACAAAATTGAGTTTTGGCAATTACACTTAACCCAACATTTGGTCAAATGAATGATGTAAATTACAATGTAAAAGTTTTCTTCTCAGGAATTCTGTGCAAAAATAGTTGTTATTTTAAAATTTACAAATGCCAGTTCCACTGACTATAAATGGGTTTTCCTTGAAAGATGACTGTGTCTATTTCATTTGTCAATATATATATTTTTGTTTATATTCAAGTTTATATTTCTAACTATGCTAGTGGACCCTTCTCTTAAACCTGAAATTTCTGCATATTTGCAAAGGATAATATCAAAATTTACCAAATATTTGTTACTAAAGTAAATAGGTTAACTTTTCAAAAGCATGAACCTTTCACGCACATTATTTGCTACATAAGTTGAACATACCTCTCCAACATATTCCATGACAAAACTCATTCTTTTAATCTTCACAAGGGTTTTTACACCCCAGCCACAGCCATTGCTAGTTCGAAAGATGCAAAGTGAATACTGTGTGCCTTTTTGTACAATCCTATTGGGACAATCAGGTCCACATTGACATCTTGAGTTGCATTCATAAATGGGAGTACCGGGTGGGATTTTAATTTGTTGGTTTTTATTATAAGCCAAAAGAACTCCAGCTTCAGCAGGACAACATTTCTCCAAGAAGCAATCTGTGCATGAACAACCAAAGGTAGCTTCATTTACTAAGCTGATTCCAGGAGTGGGTTTGTATTCATTAATGTAGTAGAAGTCTGAAGGTGGGCCCTCTAAGTCAACAGTATTTTCAACAAAAATCATTCCTTTATGATTTTTTCTTCTGTTGAGTTCATCTTGCCATCTCTGAAGAGCTATCCTTTGTTTAGCCTTCTTTACAATGTATTCAGCAATGGCAGGTTTCAAAGCTTTGTTATTGTTTAGAGTTACTGCTCTGCCTTTCTTTACCCGAGATAAATAATTATGCTTGTCATTAGAGAACTGCTGAAGTAGTAAGGGGCACTTGAGATTTTGCAAAGGTTCCCAAGTATTTGTAGAATCTGGCCATCCTTTCCATTTTACAAGATAATATTCCATATCCTTAAAATACAAAAGAAAATGCAAATCAGATATGACAGTCCCAATTATTTAAAATAATTTAATATTATAAAGAGTAAGGTATTCATTATCGTTTTTCTAAATAAAGTTCAGAATATACAGTCACAAATTTCTAGCAATTGATGTACAAACCATAAAAATAAAACTTATTTATTTTCCATAAAATATTTATAGAATTTAGATGTGGCAGAATATGCCTGACCACAGGCAAAAGAATTGCACCTACAGAAAAAAGTACTGAAATTCATGAATATTTTACCAAACAGCGACTAAATAAAAAAGTATTTTTCTTGATCATGCAAATGGCCAGTCCCAAAACTACCCTAGGTTAGAGGCTTACTTGGCCACCACAGATGTAGATATCTTTTAGCAGGTGTGTCCAACCTTTTGCCATTTCTGGGCCACATGCTGAATACACAAACATTAACAAAAACTGATTTGCCAAAAATAAATAAATAAATAAATAAATAAAAGAAAAAAGAAGAAAAGAAAAAAAGGTTTTAAGTAACTTTACAATTATGTGTTGGGCCGCATGCAGTGCGCATAGCCATCCTGGGCTGCGTGCAGCCTGCAGGCTGTGGGTTGGACACCCTGCTTAAGGTCTGTAACTTAATATTTTATACTAGATACAAGGGTAGTTTTATTTTTCAACATCATGGGCACATAAAGCCTAGATATTCTAGAGATACATTGTCTAATACAGTCATTCTCCATATCTAGCTATTGAGTACCTGAAATGTGGCTAGTCCAAATTGAGATTTGCTTAAGTGTAATACACACTTTTTAAAAATACTGATTACACATTGAAGTATTTTGGATTTACTAGATTAGAAGAAATAGATTATTGAAGACAATTATACCTGCTTCCTTCCTGTTAGTTTGTTTAGAGTGGTTACTAGAAAATTTTAAATTATACATATGTAGGCCGTAGTATACTTGTATCAGACAGCATGCTTCCAGAGAATTCTTACCTTATTTAGACTAAATCATGACTGGATTAGGTAGTAGGCATTCAAACCACCAACAATCAAAATATTTTGACTTATCCCTCATTCTACTGTTGACCACTGTGGTACCTACAATCTTGCTTTCCTACCCCAGTGACTTTACTATGCTTTCTTCCCTTCAAGTCAGGCAATGCCATGTTAAGTTTCTCTTTAAAAAGGTAGGCAAGTGTGTATAGTCAAAAAACTTCTGAAGCAAAGTCTCTCAATTTTTTTTTTTTGTCCTCTGGAATAACCAACATACATCATGTGCCCTTGGGTAAAATACCTTCTAATATATAAAAAGTGATTAAACTGCATTCTATAATTTTTAGTTATTTTAATTCACAGATACTGATACAAACTTAATTTACCCTGGACACATTTACTTTACCCTGAAATTTTAAATAAAGTTTTTATTATAAAGTAAGGAGGACCATGACAGCTGTTTTATGATTCATAATTGGATAATGCCAAATGACCTGGAAAGTCTAGGAAATGTAGTATCAGACACGGTAAGGAGACATGAATTGGGCTGAGGAGCACTGAGGCGGCTTTGAAGAAGTCACCTAGATAGTGAGGGCTTACTTTCTGTACACTGTCTTCATCTCAACGTTTTATGCATTTCTCTTCAACAAACAGTAATGCTTGTGAATTAAAAAAAAAACAAAACTTGCTTCGTTATAAAAATAGTCAATATGCTTTCTGTTTTAAAAAAGTGGTTAAATTATGGTGTGAGGATATGCACAAAAACTGTACTTCCACAGAAGTCTATATTGTGATTTCCCCAAAACAAAACAAGCCCAGACACATACATTTTTTAGTCCTTTCGGCTCACTAAGATGTAACAGGGATTTCTCCCTTCTGTCATGTAACTACTAAAATTTGGGATTGTTGTTAGCAGATACCTGCTCAACAACAATGAGATACACTTGGCAGTATCTAACATCTATTCCCCTTAATTATAAAAGTTTTTCATTTTTCTGATTCCAGAATAAGGCAATGCAATCTTGCTCATCTTTTTTTCCCTGTTACAGTTTTTTCTACTGCAGCTCTGGGTTATGCCAGAAGTTGCCAGCAAACAATGAAAGAAACAGAAACGTTGGCTTTAAGTCATATGATTAAACTAAATTTATCATTCAGCAAAACTAAAAATACCATACCACTGAAATTTGCTTTCAAAATAATGCTACTTGCATTTTTAGTGACTAAGTTTTATTTAACCATATTGTTACTTACTTAATTTATGGATGATAAAGATGCTTACAAAACATGAGTATCTTTGGCAAAATAATATAGAAATGTTAGTAATAAGTAATTTCTACTTTGTAGACTTTTTTATATGCATATTTTATTTTTAAAATCCAAAAAAAGATATTTCTATTTTGAAAAATAACAGAAAAAAAGTTTGACTTAATAAATTCAATTGATTCAATCCCCTAAATTCCAAATAAAAGCCCAAAAGTTTATAAGACTCATATATTATATCAGTACCTTATTCATTCTGATATACAATCAACTCTTGATTACCCATAGAAATGGAATACAGTCATAATGATGATCCATAAATTACTCCTGTATAATTTGGAATGCATCATACAAATTTTTTTCTTAAAGACGTTTTTCCCCCACTATCTTTTCCTTAGTGTAAATTCATTAAAATATTTTAGTATTAATAATAAGTATGTGAAAATTCAGTCACTAGAGGGTGTGATGAAATGTAAAGTAATACTAGCCTTTAGGAGTAAAATTTCATTGGAAAAAGAAGGTAGTAATAGGTAAAATAAGTAACAATGCAAACTAGTACAATTTTAACAGCAAACACAAGTAATACAATAAATACCACTAGACTATTAAGAGGGGAATTAATTCAGGTCAATCAGGATACAGAGGAAGTAGAACAAACTTCATTGTGAAAGACTGATAGGATTTGTAAGGCAGGGGACAGGGCAGGAAGGCTTCAACACATGAGCAAAAGCCTTCATGAAGCTAAGATTTGCATGAAATATCCAGAAAACATGAAGAGATGGGTTGGTTAGCTTTGAAGTTCAGATATTTAAGTGAGAGATAAAACTAATGGCACCCTGACTGGTGTGGCTCAGTGGGTTGGGCATTGCTCTGCAAATTGAAAGGTCACTGATGCCATTCCCAGTAAGGGAATGTCTAGTCTGTGGACCAGGTTCCTGGTTTGGGGCCATGTGAGAGACAACTGATGGATGTTTCTTTTTTGATTACATATTGATGTTTCTCTCCTTCTTTCTCCTCCCTTCCCCTCTCTCTAAAAACAAACAAACAAACAATCTTTTTAAAAACTGTAATGGCAAGGCAAGAACAAATTTAAGATAGCCTTGGACACTTGACTAAGGCATGTGAACTTTTATTATAAGCCAATGTTTACTATTATAATCCTTAGAAATCATGGCATTTCTGAGGGGAGCTTGATTAAATACAAATGCATTTAATTCCATACTGTGTGTCAGGAATCATTTTACCAATCTTCTAATTGCCAGGCCAATGACTCTTCAGTCCTCATCTGTCTTGACATACCTCCTTGGGCTTTGCTATTGCAATTCTCTCCATACTCTTGTTCATTTTCCACCTTCTTTGCTAAGACCATATCCCTGCCCATCACTTAAAATCTATGCAGATACAGTACTAAGGGCTCTGTCCTTGGCCCTTTTGCACACTAAACAAATGTTTACCCCTTCTGAGAATCTGAAGAAAACTATGGGCTTTTCCTTAACAAAAGTCACATATGTAGTATTTTGGGTAATTTCAGGATATTTGGGTTCCAAGTTAAGAATTCCTGCTCTAAATGCTTTCTCTGGGCAACCTCATCACTTCAGTGGTTTTAGTTATATGGTGATGACTCCCAAAATTTTATGTTCAACCCAACATACCCTATAGCCTACTACTGGATGTCTAACAGGTTCATAAATCAAACTAACTACATGGGACTCATCACAGTCCTTCCCAAACAGATTCTTTGTGTTCTGTGTTTCCCATCAAGAGGAATCTTATCTATCTGCCTACTCACACAAGTTACAAACCAGGAGGTCAATCTCGATTCTTTCTCCTCTTCAATCCAATCCATTATCAAATGTCTTTAGATACTTGTTCCTGTCCATCTCTATTACCTATAGTTATTTCAGGCCTTCAATTCTTGCCTGGATTATTAATTTCCTAACTGGTTTCCCTGACTCCAGACTGACCATAAGTCCAATCTACCCTTCTTTATTAAAGTGTAGTTTTTTCATTAATAATAAAAACCCATTGTTCCAAGCAGTCATTTTGTTATTTTCTCGCTTCAGCATTTTAATGGCTTTCCCACTGCCTAAAGAATTAAGTTCATACTTCCTAATAAGGACCATTCTTGATCGGGCCCCTGATTTCTCTCTGCCACAATCTTCCATTATGGCCCCATTCATACTCCTCTGGCCACAATGAACTGCTATTAAGTGGGGAATTCATAACAGGCCTTTTCATACCCTACTGTTGCTTCGTCCACCAAGTTCTCTCATTGGAATAGCCTCTTCCATTTGCTTAATGAGCACTTGCTTATTTTGGTCTCATATTTTATGTGTAGAAAAATGTACTCATCTATAAAATTCAGTTCAAACATCATCTCTTCAGTGAAATCTTTCCTGCTTCTCTTGCTCAAGGAGAACTGATCACTGCCAACTCCCTGTGTTCCTATTTCTAACATAAACTGTAAGCCATTTTTAGAAAGAAATGGAATCTTATTCTTTGTAGCCCCAGAACCAAGCACAATTGCCTAGGCTTTCACTAAATATTTCTGAATATCTAACAAAAATGACTACCAACTTGTATGCAAGATAAAAGTTACAACAATAATTATAGGAATCCTTAAAATACAAGCTGTTAAACTTAACCTGGAGATAGTGGTTTTCAATATTTGTTCTGAAATCTTCCGTCTATAGCAGTAAGTTGTAGCAAGCACAAAAACTTTAAAAAGATATCTTTATGGGAGGACAGAAA